CACCGGCTTCCCACCACGGCCTCTCTCGGCGAGGAAACTCTGGCCTCCGCTTCCTCCTCCTCCGACTCGGACACCGGCGGAGCCTCCCCGCCCCCGCGGAAGAAACCCCGAGCCTCGGCGGCGGAGGGAGCAGGAGAGCCCGGGGCTTCGGCAGGCAGAGCAGGCCTCTCCCCTCCGTCCTCGTCGTCCTCGTCCTCGTCGTCCTCGTCCTCCTCCTCCTCCTCCTCCGTGGTGGTAGTGGTGGGACTCCCCCCGGCTGCTGCCCCTTCCGCCGCCGCTGCCGTCCCCCACCGAAGTAGCGGCCACAGCCTGGTCACCGGCACTATCATGCAGGCCAACGGGGCAGGAGGAGGAGGAGGAGGTGGTGGCGGCGGCGGTGGAGGAGGAGGGGGCGGCGGGGGCCAGGGACAGACCCAGGAACTCGCCTGCCTGTCGGCCCAGAACGGGGAGTCGTCCCCCTCGTCGTCGTCGTCCGCGGGGGACATGGCCCACGCCAATGGGCTCCTGCCTTCCGCCCCCTCCGCCGCCAGCAACAATAGCAACAGCCTGAATGTCAATAACGGGGTCCCCGGCGGGGCGGCCGCCGCAGCCTCCGCCACCGTCGCAGCTGCCTCTGCCACCACCGCCGCCTCCTCTTCCTTGGCCACCCCAGAACTGGGCAGCATCCTCAAGAAGAAGAAGCGGCTCTCGCAGTCAGATGAGGATGTGATTAGGCTAATAGGACAGCACTTGAATGGCTTAGGGCTCAAGTAAGTATCCCTTACAGGCAGCGATGATGGACAGACCGAGGGACGGAGGCTGCAGGGTGGGGGGTGAGGCTGCAAAGAGCTCAGTCAAAGGGTGAATTACTGCTGGGCACACAGGGCCCAGGCCCAGCACCTAGGAAGACGCAGCTCAGTCAGACCGAGCAGGGAGGAGGAGCTGACCTGAAGCGGAATAAGGGGGAATCAATCAGTCTGACAAATCGTGAGACCAGACAGGCGGGGGGGGAGGGGGGGTTATAGAAACCCAAGGAATTTCCCCTCCCCACACACCTTCAGAGCCGAACTGTCTTGTCAATAAAGACAGATGCAGGAGAGTGCGTCTGTGCATGTGTTGGGGGAGGGGTGGATTAGAGCTGGTGGAAATAATGAACCTTGGAGGATTTGTTTTTCAAGTCTATCTTAGAGGCATCTTTGTGGGACACCTCCCCACCCCCTGCCATGACAGACATCCACCCAGGCAAACTACCAATCAGGAGAGACAATCACCCACAAGTGTTTATGGGAACTGAGGGGCTGGGATAATTTGGAAAGAGGCTGTTGAATAAATCTGATGGGAATAATGAAGTAAGATGCCGTGTTTATGTCATTTAAAGGCCCTTTTATGTGTAGAAGAGGCCTAGCACTAGTCTGAAATCCCGATTTCAGACCGAGAAGATGATTGTCTCTGAAGAGGGGGCATCTGATCTGGTGAATCATTCGTTTTCAAACACAGTTTAGGTGGCCTTGTACACTTGAAATACGGTGAAAGTAGACACAGGCCTTGGCCCAAAACCATCGTTTTGCACACTCACAAAGAAAAACTCGGGGTGGAAGGTTGGATTCCATGGAGGAGGTAGATGAGCTAGTACCAGAATGAGACTAAAAGGGGGAAAAAATGCAACAGTTTCCTAGCTTCAAAGCTCAGATTAAAATAAGCTGTTAGGCTAGCCAGTGTGTAGTGTTAGATTTATACGTTTGTTTTTGGGGAGAAGCAGCACTTTTAAAAACTGACATAACTATTTTGATTCTTAAGTAGATCCTGGCACTGTTTAGCTGAAAAATAGAGCTGAATTCAGAAAGCATTGAAACACACAAATACATAAGACTGATAAATGAAGGTTCTTAGATATCAAAATACCTGATGGAATAAACTGCATTTGATAAACCTTTCAAGCTCTTAAAAAAAGATACGTATTGTAGGAAGATTTTACTTTATTTCCTAAGGAAATGGATTAGTATGAAAACAGGTTTTGTAAATGCTAACAGAACGTATTAGTGAGACAAGAAGCAAGCTGACAGCAGCAGGAGGAAATAACTCGTGACTGTTTGGAACCTACACCATAGTAAATTTGCTATTTTTAGTATGGAGAGAAAGGGAATGGTTTTTGATGCTGGATTTATTTTAATTTTAAAGGTTGACCTGGTAGAATTTCTTCACAAACGTAAGGTCTGGATGTAAGGCTCTCGCTTAACACAGGTCATCTCTGTCACCTTGTATGGAGCTAATAATTTTTATCTTTTCAAAATGTAGTAGCATGGTTAGTGTGTAGATCCTGATTTTTCGATTTTAGAGCCAAGAAAGGTTTTTCACTTGACTAGTTATAAATGTAGGTGGCAATTTAAAAATCAAGTTTGTTAAAGCACATTGAAGCTATTTCTTTTTTCTGGATCACTAAGGTTAGCATAAAAACTTTTGCATCTGTTTTCATAGACATTAGTTTATTTGGAAGAGTACAACCTACAGTTGGTCAGGTCTTTTTTACACTGTATCTCTCCTGCAGCCAGACTGTTGATCTCCTCATGCAAGAGTCAGGATGTCGTTTAGAACATCCTTCTGCTACCAAATTCCGAAATCATGTCATGGAAGGAGACTGGGATAAGGTAAAGTAGGGCATATAGAGCTGTGTGACTGCTGCTAAAATTATATATTTGATGTGCATTTTGTGACATGTCTGTTTTTCTTTTATACCAATTTTTGCAGGCAGAAAATGACCTGAATGAACTAAAGCCTTTAGTGCATTCTCCTCATGCTATTGTGGTAAGAGGCGCACTTGAAATCTCTCAAACGTTGTTGGGAATAATTGTGGTAAATACACTTTTGTTCTTAGTTCACATTTATGCTTATTTTAGTAGGTTATTGATAATGCTAGGCCTCTGCCTCTCGTAAAAGATAAGGCCTAAAAATAGTCACATTTCCTGTAGTTGTATTTATAAACTAAAATAAGTGCTTATAATGTTTAAAGTTTGAGCTTTGTATTTTTAAAATGAGACTTAGTAAATGTGTCATTTGAACCTACTTTATAAGTTAAGCACTATGTAAATCTATTGAAAGATCTTGCAGCTTTCAGTGCTGTTAATAGTTTTATGTTTGTTAGAGTGAAGGATGTTCTATTTTTATATTGCTTAACATATTAAATGTGCTGGTGAAGAGAAAAATGTGTTTTGAGTGTGTGCATATCTGTACAGCCTTAAGTAGCTTATATGTTAATGATATATCCTTTTTTTTTTTCCAACCTTGGAGAGTTAAGAGTTCAAACCAACTCCATTGGTGTGCACACCATTTCCACTCTTGCATTCCAGTTGTGTGAATTGACAGTGTCAAAGTTTTTGTAACATGTATCATTCTGGTGGAGGTTTTGTATGCAAATTGGGCTTTGCTTACTGGCCTTATTTCCCCGACAAGATCAGTTTGGTAGCTTAACCTGTTAGCCTCTTTCATAAATCTTAATAAATCTTTTATCCTGATGTGCTTTAATTCTTTAGTAAATGTTGGTGAGGGAGACAAGGGGATAAGTTTTTTCTAAGTGCTTGTGATTGGAAACCATGAAGAATCAGCTGCTAGCTGCTGGCTGCTGGCTTTTTAACTTCTAGCTGATTCATTTGTTGTCAAAAGCAGTTTCCTGTCTGGTGGGGGAGGGAGAGAAGGCGAATAGGAAGTGAAGTAGGGAAAACAGCTGTTTGTTAAATATTAGTAAATGACTATTACATTTTGATTTTTTTAATTGGGTCAAACTTTAATCTCTTCTGTCTTTGTCTATAAACCTAACAGAGCCCTATGGGTTTTTCTTTCTTTCTTTTTGAAATCTTACTACAAAAGAGTTTTCAAGTTCTTACTGTAATTCTATTCAAGTGTGTGATTTCTTGGAGGATTGTTTTCCTTTTTAAGCTTCACCAAATTATATCTGTAATTTAGTATTAAAATCTTTAATAGAGTCACTTTTTTTTTCTTGTTTATAGTAATTTGAGACTTCTGTATTGGATTTAGATTATGACTATCTCATTAGAAACTTTCATTAGAAGCAACATGTAAGCTGAAGAAAGGTAGCTGTAGATAATAAGGAGGAATCCTTTCTTTTTACAGCTTGTTCAGTCTATAGAACATTCTAGGATCTAATAAAAGATGAAGATTAAATCTCTGGCTGAGCCTCACGCCATCAAACTGTTTAGGTATTTATACAAAGAAAGGGGTTCCAACTTTGTATCACCTTGAGCAGTGTTGAATCAATTGTTTTTAAAGATTCAGTTCAGCATTTTTTAAAGTTGCCCTTCACCTTTTGCGTTGTCTTTAGAGTTACTCCTCTTCCTTACCCTGTCCTCAGAAGATGATCTAATGTAAGATTAAATTTGTAATAATACCTTAGAATACAACTGTGTGTTTTTTTAAATATAATTATTTTACTTGTGTATCCAGACACATTTAAAGACTTAGTCTAGGCTAAAATTATATTTTATTTTTTAAACCTGAACATTTTTATTGACCCATTCCCCCACATTCTCTGCCCTCCTCCCTCCCCAGATTTGTAAATGGTCTCCTGTCAAATAATCCTGCAAATAGCAGAATTTGCTCTGGATTTTCTGGAAGCTGAGCTCATGAATCAACGTGTTTTTGGTTTAGGTTCAAATATGACTAGCCAGGCTTGGGAAATTTGGGTGGGTGCTTGAGACTGATAACTTAGAAGACGTGTGTGTGTGTGTGTGTGTGTGTTCGATTATTTTTTAATATAATAAATCTGCTTAACAAGTGTCCAAATATTAACTTGACCTATCAAAATGAACTAATGTATTTTAAACTCAAGTAGGGAGGAGTTTTGAGAGTCATGGTTTAAATATAATTCATTTCCCCTTTCCTCTGAGTCATAATTGATATAACTTTATTCTAGAGTTAGTCAGAACCACTACTAAGTTAGCTGAGAGGCTGCCCTTGATAGCCAGACTTCCTGTATATTATAACTTCTGAGTTTTTTTCATGTTGAGTTCAAGCTAATAAATAATATGGGAGGAAAGGATAAAGCAGTCTAAATACTGGGTGAGGTGGGAGGCAACAGTAGGATTTACAGTGTAAAGCTGTCTTTCAAGCATGCTAGTCACTTAGAAATTTCAAGTGTTTATTGGATATTAGAAGAGAGGAGAAAATATTGCTGGGCCCAAAGATGCTGGAAAAGCATCGGCAACCAGAAATAATCTCTTAGAGAGGTCTAATTAAGAGTTGGGGAAAGATAAGAGAGTTTATTTCTCAGCCTGTTTCTTTCTTCATTTAAGAAGATCACGATCTTTAAAAAAAAAAAAAAACCCTTAGTAGAGCCCTGTCCCCGTCTCGGCAAGCCTCAGTTTTGCCTGATACCTAAAACTTCTTCAGCAAATTAACATCATTTGTGAATTAAAAAGTCTTTACTTTTCTTGAAAATTTTGTTTAGATTTTTGTCCTTTAAATTTTAGGAGGTAAATAGAGTTTTATCCCCTATTCTTATTATGTGTGTCAAATACTTGAGTTGCTGAACTGATTTTTTGGAGAATAAAGATTTTCTTTCTCAGCCAAATCTAGCTGTGCTTGGCCAGCAGCATATTAGTTACTATGTGCAATACTAGGATTTGATACCTGTTTGAGGATATTCTTTGTCTTAATCTGGATAAAATGACTCAGAGAGAAATGATCCTACACTGCTTTTATAGCGTTCCCTGTATATACAGAAAAAACGTGTTTATATTGGCTTCTTTCAAAGTTTTTTTTTACTCTGCCTTCCTCTTCTGCCCCACCTCTGCCCCATAGAAATAGAGTAACATTTCTGTCAGGATCTTGGTGGGGAAATAAGAGTGAAATAGCACTTGGGGCACTGTCCCTACACACATTGGAGTGGGGGTATGTGTGTGCATAGGCCCTAATGATTGATACTAAAAAACAGTTAAGTAAAAGACTTGCCCTGAATTTAAAAAAAAAATCCCCAAAATTCCCATTTGATACGAAAATTTAGTGAAGAAGTTAAATACACATGCAGGCCATTTCCATGTGGCATTTAAATGAAAAATGTCTGCAACTAAATACGTTTCTCAAGCTTGAATCAAAAATATACTATATGAAAAGAAACATTTAATAACAGATAAATGGAGGTGTATGAGCCTTCATTTCACAAAGAATTAAAAAAAATTTTTCAGAAGTTAAAATGGTGAGAATATCCGGAATAACTTCCATATAAAATCTTTTGATTTTTGGATGTTTTTTGTTTTTACAGTTTTGTTTTTTGTCACCTGGTAGACTTGAAGGTATTTTTTATTTGACATGTAAACGTTAACTTCAGGCCATATGCATAGCCACGTATTTTTTAGGGAATCTTGGTAATTACTGCGAAACATTCATTAGTCAACCTAACTTTATGTGTAAAATTTGGTAAACGTAGTTTTTCTAGTTATGTAGGGGCTTGTTTCGTATTTCAAAAATTTTTCTATTATTTAGTTATAGATTTAAGAATAAATTAATACCAAGCATAAGCAATGTATTTTATAAAGGGTGTATTTAAATATATGTCTAACTTACATGAGAGGTTTTTTTTTTTTGGTTTTGTTTACTTTCTCTAGAAGCTATTTTTATAAGGCCATAGTTTATGTTTCTCTTCTAAATACTGCCTCTGTAGAAAATCTTGTAGAGCCGTTCATTATAATCTTAATTCCATAAATAAATGGTAAATCCTCAGCACGATTTTGTGACAGCAGTATTTTTTTTTTAATGTTTTTAATTAAAGAAAGAGCTGTCATTTGGGTTTTTATTTTAAGTGGATTTGAGGTCTGTAGCAGTATATTCCTTGAAGTTTCTAAATGTGACTAACATTTTCTACCTACTTTCAAAAAGTAGTTTAAAAACAAGCAAACAAAAAGCCACATACCACTTGGCTTGCTTAAGCTCCACAAATGGTAAATATGATGTAAGAGTCCCTTTAAGCAGTAGTCCTTAATTGTTTTAAGGTTTAAAAGAAATATCAGACTTAATATTCATAAGCTATTTCTCTAGCATAATTTTTCATAAACTTTTCTCTGGCAAAAGCTGCTGTGATTGTGATGATCACTTTCAAGTTAAAAGTCAAATAATAAACATTAAAAAATATTAAAATCAAACAGATTTCAGAAAAATAAACTAAACGTGAAATACTTCACTACTAGTAAGCAGGAAGTGGTTTATCCTCTTGAGGGGGAAAGTGCTAATGATAATTGTGCTTCGTAGTTAAATGCATGACCAGATTATTATAAATATACAAATATTGGATCCTTTTAAAGATCTTAGTTTAACCTTCTAATGTAGGCATCCCTTTATAGCATCTAGAGAGAGGTGGCCCATCAAGCTTATGCTTTCCACTTTTATATATTTTGTTATTGTGGTAAATATATGTGTAACAGATCTTTTGCCGTTTCAGTGATGCTTGTCCACTTTAGTCATAGAGAACTCAATATTTTGCAAATCAGCCAACTCTTCTTACTTTTGATAAGCCACAGTCTGACACTTTACAACTTCTACCCAGTCGTTCTAGTTCTGCTTTCTGCTGTATTTAGTCTCTTTTTTCACAGTGTGGCTTTTAAATAATTCTTCCATTAACTGGTTTTTCTCCAGGCTTTTCAAAAGCGCTTGTTGTGGAACACCCCCCTTCATGCCCGATTATAAAAGTCAGGCTTTTTTAAAAGCGAACTTAGAATACTTGAAGTTGTTCTAAAATTTCATGCAAGAAATGAAAATGTAGGTGAATGTTTTGATGTTAAATTTATTTTTTCCTGTGTTTATGCTTTGGTCACTAATGATGTTGTCTGATTTGAGATTATTCTTTAAAAGTAGAGTTTTACTATGATGTAGAGTTAAGCAAAGTGACATTTAATCTACTCTGACTCTATTAAACCAGAATATTTTGAGTCATCTTGAATCTTTATAAAAAGTTATTTTCAAAGGGCATAGTAGAATGGTTTCTACTGTTCTGTTTAGGCACAAACATTTTCTGAAACTTCCATCAACTTTTTTCCCCTGACTGCTGCTTTCTGTCATGTCAGAGGATGAAGTTTTTGCTGCTGCAGCAGAAGTACCTGGAATACCTGGAGGATGGCAAGGTCCTGGAGGCACTTCAAGTTCTACGCTGTGAATTGACGCCACTGAAATACAATACAGAGCGCATTCATGTTCTTAGTGGGTAAGGAAGCTTAGTTCTTAGACTTCAGGTTGGTGGGGGGCTTGTTAGTTTTACAGTGGTTACTTTTCTAAGGTTACATTTCTTTAGCATTTTTCTTAGATATAAGTACTTGAATATTGCTAAATACTTAGGTAATATTTGTCTGGGTAAATTCACTTAATGTGTGTAAAGACTAATTTTGTCATCCTAGGAAGCTTTCCATATTAGGATAGTGGGTGAAAGGGAGAAAAAAATGCATTGCCAGTGAAGTGGCTTTTCATAATCTTCTATAAAACTCTGTGGCAAGGGTCACAGTAAGCAATGAAGTTTCCAGGATTGGTACATATAAACATTTTTTAGTGAATACTTGTCATGTAGTAGGTACTTTGCTAAGCATTTCATACGCACAATCTCATTTTATCTTCCCATCCATCCTTCAAATGTTAAAGTTCCCCAGGGATTGGTCCTGGCCCCTCTTTTATCCTCTATTGCATACTCTTCCCAGATAAGCTCGTTCTATACCATGCCTTTTACATATTATCTGTATGCCAGCAGCTCCCAGATTTCCCATCTCACCTCCAGGTGTGTTATGTGTGACAGCCTACTTGACATTCTCTGTTTGGAAGTCCACTTGAACAAACTTAATTTGTTCAAAACAAAATTCTTGATTTCAGGTGTACTTCCACCCCCACAGACCTGCTCCTCCCCTGAGTTTCCTCATCTCAGAAATTGCACCACCTTCTACCCATTTACTCAGTCCAAAAACTTAAGGCTCGTCCTTGCTTTTCCTTTATCTTTTAACTTTGGCATGTATTAGCCTAACTCTGAAATATCCCAGATTTGTCCATTTCTGTCTGTCTCCACAATTTCCATTCTAGTTAAGCAGCAGACATCTCTCCTAGAATATTATAATAGCCTCCTAACTGGTCTCACTGCCTTCGCTCTTGCTCCAGTAACAATGCATGTTTCATATAGCAGCTAAAGAAATACGTAAGTAGAATCTTAAATAAATCATTTCACTCCATTCCACTGGCTTTCCAGCACATTTAAAATAAAATTCAGAATCTACCCAGACCCAGAAGGTCCCTGATCCTTTCCTGCCATCTTTTCCCTTATTTATTACTCCTTAGTGGTGCTGATGTTCTTTCTGTTTCTTAACTTGCGAAGCTTTAAGGCATTTGCACTACCTGCTTCCTCTATCTTAAAGCGCCTTCCCCAGTCTATAGAGCTGGCTACTAGGTGTTCAGGCCCCAGCCCAGGTGTCCTCTCCTCAGACCAGCCAATGTAAAATAGCTCCACCAGGCATTGTCTATCACATCACTCTTTTTTTCCTTCTTTGTAGCATTTATCACTATATGATATGATCGTAGCATCTAGAGCAATATCTGGCACATAATGAGTTTTTAAATACAAGATGATGGACAGAAGGCTGAGCTGTGAACAATTTTTCCAAATAATTATTGATAATAAAATTTACCCCCAAAAAGTTGTTTTGGAAACCAAATGTTCACAATATCCAACTTCTTATAGGGTGTTCTAATTACTCACACTATTTAAAGTAAGTTCTTCTCGTCAGCTAAGGCACTGTTTATGTACTAAATAGCAAGAGAGCAAGTACTTTTGCTCTTAGGTAAGAGGCTGTTAAAATCATGTAAACTCGTAAGTGAAATATGCTTTATGTCGTTTTCAAAGAAGAAAGGATGAGGTGACACGCATGTTAACTGAGGGCTTCCTTGTATTATCATTTACCAGGCTCTCCCTGTGTACCAGCTAATAGACCAAGTAGTTCACATGCTTCATTTTATTTAATCCTCGCTGTCCTGTTTAAAACCCTATTTACAAGTGAGAAAAACTGATTTGTCTGGCGAAAACCCATTGCCATTGTCAATTCTGACTCATAGCAACCCTATAGGACAGAGTAGAACTGCCCTGTAGGGTTTCCAAGGAGCAGCTGGTAGATTCGAACTGCCTGCCTTTTGGTTGGCAGCCGAGCTCTTTTAACCACTGTGCCACTAGGGCTTCTTGTTTGGCGAAGTACCAGACAAAATAGCAGAAGAGTTACATCTCCATGTTTGAATAGCAGCTTCTCTTTTACTTTTAAAGCTGGTTCTTCTGAGAAGAGCCAGAACCATGTCAAGGTCACAGTTCCAGCAGGGAGCCTTTATTTATTCTCTAGTCCATGAACTTTAGAGTTTATGCCTCCATCAGTACATAGAGTAGTAAAACAAGTCCCAAATTTTGTGCTCAGGGATCTCAGTACCTGTCATAGGATGACACAAGAATGATTATCCATTTATACCATTTCTTGAGTGATGTTTATGATAAACTCTTGGAGGTATGTTGTTTTTGTTTCATTAGCTTAGTGTAAGTATCTTTGAAGGTTTTCTGGGTTTTTTTTGTTTTGTCTTGTTTTACTATTGAGAAGCACTCTAGTTAGCCTAGTGACTAAGAGTCAGATATGGAACTGGAATTCCTAGGTTCATATCCCTACTTTGCCTCTTAACTATAGGGACGTTACCTAAGCTTTCTTTGCCTTGGTTTCTTCATTTATAAAAAATAGAATAATAATAGGACTTCCTTCATACAGGATTGTTAGGAAGATTAAATGAAGTAATATGTGTTGAGTGCTTAGAACAGAGTTTGGCACACATTAAGAGCTACAGTATATATAGTAATTTAGTAATATAGAGCATATGCCATTAATAGATAACATAGCAATAATATTGTGCATGTTAGCTATTATTGTTACATTACATTTTAGTAATTATATCCAGGTGCCAGGTTGTATTATTGAATTGGGTCCATTGTAGACATTTCTTCTTGATAAGAACTAGATACCAATATTTTTCAATTATGTTTATTCCAGAGAAAAGGCTTTGATATTTGTTGCTCTCTCTGATGTGTTTTTAGGTATCTGATGTGTAGCCATGCAGAAGACCTACGTGCAAAAGCAGAATGGGAGGGCAAAGGGACAGCTTCCCGATCCAAACTATTGGACAAACTTCAGAGTAAGAGTCTTAATTTTTTGTTTCTGTGCATTCTCTTAGATTAGAAGTAGATACTAGGAATCAGTAAGTGACAGTTGTGTCCAACCATACTCCAGTGAGTTTTATTATAGTAGGAAGAAGAAGGATCCGTTAAGAGGCCCTTTAAACCAAAGGTTTTCATAACTTTGCTAGGCAGTCTAACCTGAGGAGTGAGTGAGGGGCTCTGCTCCCATAGCAGTTCTCCTTTGATTTGTTTTAGGCAGTAGTGTTCCTCATAAGATTTTGTTTAGAGGGGAAGGTGCTGTGGTTAGAGGAAAAATATGTAAACCACTGCTTTAAGCCACAATTGTTTTCAATGTTTTGTTGATTTCAGTAATAAGTCATAGTTTTTTGTTTTTTTTTTTTTTTTTAGGTACATTGTTTTACTCTCCCCCCAAATAGATAACTTTCAAATTACAGTAAGGGTTTAATTTTTGCCACATCTTTATGTGAAGGACCTTCTTTCCATCTCTGGTCAGATCGTATTATTCTATAATTTTCATGTTGATGTGGGAATGAAGATCCGAAGAGTCAGAAAACCAGATGGTTTGGGAGGTATAAGGGATTGAAGGCTTGGAATAGATTAGTATTGATAACAAAACCCCAGTTACTCCCTGAATTTCCATAGTATCCTTTGTGTAAGGAGCAATTTGATGGAGCCTGGAACTGACCTGTTACAGTATTTTGGCTTGCTCTTTGTTAATGTGGAGATTTTTCTTTCACTTTTAGTAATGCTTAGAACCCCTCTAGTACACAGTCATCATTAGATTTTTTTCTTTTCCTTTTTTTTAGAAAATCCACACACAAAATAAAGCTCTCCCATACAAATATAACCCATTCTGGTGATTGCATAGCTCCAGCTGCTGACAAGAGACTCATAAAGATCATGTGTTATGTTTAAGAGACCAGTATGGTTGGGGAAGGAGCAATGTATTAAATAAAAACAGAAGATGAGCAAATGTATTAAATGAAAGTTTACACTGCTTTTTTTTTTTTTTAATTCATATTTTTCTTTTTTAAAATGTCTTCTATTAAAGCCTATTTACCGCCATCAGTGATGCTTCCCCCACGGCGTTTACAGACTCTCCTGCGGCAGGCTGTGGAACTACAGAGGGATCGGTGCCTCTATCACAATACCAAGCTTGATAATAGTCTAGATTCTGTGTCTCTGCTTATAGATCATGTTTGTAGTAGGTAAGAGGAAAACTTCTTATAATCTGAAATATGCACATTTCACAGTCTCGGTTATGAACTCTATTTAAATGTTTTCTTTTTTAGAGTTTTACCCTGTAGCTATAAGATAATTCGTATCTGATTTAGCATTTATTCATAAGTAAAAGTAGAACTACTAACATAGAAAATTAAAAGAAATATGTATATTTATATCTTAAGCCACACCTTGAGAATTGATGCTATAAAACTTATCTTTTCTTTTCTTGTCTCTGGGCTTGGTTAGTCGTTTTCTGTATTTAACAATGTTTTTAAAGACTTGTGGGAATGCCAGTAATCCACGGGTTCACTGTTCTCGAATGCCAGGGATCAGTTAGTGATTCTTTCTTTGGACATTGTGCCTATTTTAACTATGGCCCAAATTATTTTCTGCTTATAAAGATCATAGAAATACTTTTTCCATAATAAAAATTCAGTTTTTTGTTAGAAGATGGACTATAAACTAAAAAGTTAGAATAAGTTACTACTTTTCTGGTTTGGGTTTTGTCATTATACCTACCCACGTGCATAATTAAACTTGGAAGAATTCAGGCTTCTGTTTGGATATTAAGAGTATTTTGAGTACAGATGTCCCTGCTATTTTAATAATGATCTCCAAAATTAAAGCAAAGCTTTAATTTTTAAGGTACTGGAAAGCAAGTTGTGAAATCTTTCAAACTCCAGGAAGGAAATGATTTGAATCTGATGAACTACACACAAAGAGGAACAGCTGCAGTAGACGTGCTTAATTTCTTTTGCCAAAGATCATTGAAGAACTAATGAAAACGTGAATAGGAAGGACAAAAGTATATAAATGTGAGGACTTTGCATAAATGAGGAACTTCTGAGTACCCATAAAAATTAAGTAGATACGCACATCTGCAGTGTGATTTAAAATAATTTTTTTAGGGGTGCATTTGTGAATGCACACCATTTGTCAGTGTAGTTGAGTTCTCAACTCATCCTCCCCAATTGCAGAAAAATAATTATTATTATTTAGACTGTTAGCCTTAAATTATCTTTTTAAAGTATTGGATTGTTACTTAGTGAAAATCTTGAATGTTCTAAAAGAATGCGATTAGAGACCCTTTTCCGTTGTTGTCTGACCTCTTGATCTCTCGGTCTTTCTGCTCTTTAGCTCTGTTCCTTCACTTGCTTATGAGGATTTTTAAATCTTTTCATTTAAATTCAGTAGAGGTTGGAGGAAGTGATAGATTAAAAGGCTATATCATTTCCCATTTTATAGCCCCTTTAGGGTCACTATGAGTCATAATTGACTCGAGGACAACAGGTTTGGGGTTTTTTTTTTCTTTCTTTTTTTTTTTTTTAAAGAAATTTAGGAGCCCTCGTGGCACAGTGGTTAAAGTGCTCGACTGCTAACCAAAAGGTCGGTGGTTCGAACCCACCAGCCGCTTCGCAGGAGAAAGATGTGTCAGTCTGCTTCCATGAAGATTACAGCCTTAGAGCAGTTCCACTCTGTCTTATAGGGTGTCTGTGAGTTGAAACTGTCTCAGTGGCAGTGGGTTTGGTTTTTTGGGTTTTTTTAGAAATTTGAGAACAATGTTAAAATTAAGGCAGTCGTGAACTAAGATTTTGTTGTCCCTAAATTTATTGCTGGTGGAATACATTGAAGGTGATAACTAGACATTATGGTACAAGAGCTGTCAGTAGGTTAAGAACTTGCCTTCCTGTTTGGAAATCTGTGGGATTATAACCTATATTTTTACTATATGTTTTAACTTCTATACCAGTATCTGTGAAACTAAATGATGGAAAACACTTGGTCTAACTTTTTCCGGTTCTCAGATTGAGACCAGGCTCCTATAAGCCTGTGTGGGAGAGCACTGAAGTTTTACGTAGGGGTGAAGAGTTCTTTTTCTTCAGAAATAGCCATTGATTGGAGAGTCTTCTCTGTAATCTTAAAACAAAACTTTGACTCTGTGTTCTTCCTAGTTACCATTCTTTCCCCTCTACTTTAGAGCCAACTTCTTGATATAAATGCCTGCTGTACATTCATGATGTCTGTGTGCTTACTTCCCCTTCATTCTTCCAGTTTCTGTAATAATAGGGATTGTACAGGTAACACAACACCAGAATTGTTGCTGACGTTGGTGAGAAACATCCTCTTTGTTATCCAGCCTGTATCTTTGCCTTTCTGTAACGTTTGACTACTCTGCCTTGAAGTTCTTGCTTTGACTTCCAAAATATTCCAGAGTTTTTGGTTCTGCTCCTGGCTGTACCTTTGGTGCCTCCTCTTTGTTTGTCCCTTTAATAAGTGTGTATTCCAAAATTATGTTTCTTCCCTCATCTTACTCTCCTCAGGCTATACTCCCATGGTTCTCGTGATGTAAGTCTGCACTAGAGCTACAGACTTTACCTCCAAGCCTTAGGCCTTAATGCAGCAATTTAGATGTTGCTCACATACCTTAGACTCAGCATGTCCAAAATGGAACTTCTGTCCCTCTTAACACACGCCACAAAGTCTGCTTTTCCTCTTGAATTCCTTATCTCCGTGAAAGGCTGCCATCTACCCCGTTTCCCCAAGCCGGAAAACAGTCAGCTTGACTTTTCATGCTAGAGATATGTTTAAAGACACTAAGGGGGAGATGTCAGGCAGCAAGTCACAGGCATTCTTCAGAGTGAGTTGTTGTGTCCTTCATTTCCGAACTGGGAGAATAGAACCTGTTTTGATTTAATTCCTAGTATTCTACATTCATCTAGAGGCCTTTCATTATCTGCTTTACTCCCTTTTAGAAACCAGATTTTAGCATTGAAACTAGAAAACAATATTTTCAGAAATTTAATCTTAGCATTGAAATCTAAATATTAGCTTTTCTCTTTGGTGAGTAGATAATTAGTTAAGAATAAGTGAGCTATGAGTTTTTCTTTTTTTTTAATCCAGATCGGCATTTGAAGAACTCTTTTTAGATTGTATACATGTTATGTTTTTCACAGTTAGGGTATACATATTTTTGGTTAAATTTGACCAGTAAGGAACAATGTTTTGTTATTTATTTAATAATCTTGTGGGTTTTTTCACCAGCAACTAATGGAAGGATGTGTCCACAGGTAGCTTTATAAATGATAATTTCTTTAGTAGGATTTCTTTTAAATATTTATAGAAACTTACAGTTTAAAAGATTCAATTTGATTAAAATGCTACCTTTTATTCACTTTTACTTGGAAAGGTATTAATCTTTATTTTTTAATGCCATCTTACATTTTAAATGTATTTGAAAGCAAAGACATATATATAAACTATCACTTGTGTGCATCTAAAAGTAGGCTTTTAGCAAATTGGCGGCTGTTAAATTAGTCTTTTTAAAAGATTATTAAGTAATGATAAAAATAATGACAATATAAATACCACTTTAGTGATACTCAAATACAGCTGATTGTTGATGACTACATGATTTGTGTCCTTGAACCTTAAGGACACTTTGCTGCTCTAATTTTAAATATATCTTTTCATTAATGATCAACTTTAGCCATTTGAATTACTGTATATTTTGTGCCTAGATATAAAGTGTTTCTCACTGAATAAATGACATCTCTATTGATTGCCCTGGTGGCGCAAGTGGTTAAGAGATCAGCTACTAACCAGAAGGTCAGCAGTTCGAATCTACCAGCCACTCCTTGGAAACCCTGTGAGGCAGTTCTACTCTGTCCTATAGGGTCGAAATCAACACCAGTGGGTTTGGTTTTCATTTTTGGATCACACTGGTGAATTGACAGGATGTATTTTTAGATTATAGATTGGCTGGGGAAAAATAGGGAAGACCATTTTTTAAGACAGACTTAACAATTTATCCATTAATGTTAAAATAACTTTTTGTTTAATAATAAAGGGAGTTTATAGCATAGAGCTGTACTGTCTAATACAGTAGCCACTAACCACATCCCATTGCCATCAAGTTGATTCCGACTCAGAGTGACCCTGTAGGACAGAGTAGAACTGCTCCATAGGGTTTCCAAGGAGCAGCTGGTAGATTTGAACTGCCAGTCTTGGTTAGCAACCTGAGCTCTTCACCACTGCACCACCAGGGCTCCACTAGATACGTATGGGCATTTAAATGTTAATGTAAAGTATATTCATATTAAATAAAAAATCAAGTCCCTTGGGCACACTAGCCACATGTTCCTGGTGGCTACCATATTGGCCAGCACGGGTATATAACATTTTCATCGTCACAGAAAGTTCTATTGAGCAGTGCTGATGTAGCAATTAGAAAAGGATAGAATGAGTTTAAAAAGTGAGTGCTTAATGAGAATAGTTGTTCTTACAGAATTTTTTTCCTCTGTAACTTGGTAAAGTTAATAATAAATTATAGAATTCTTTGCCCTTGATATATCATAACTGCCATTAATGAAGTACTAGCTAGACATCAGACTTATTCCAAATGCTTTACATTCATTATCTCAAACTTTTATTTCACCCTTGTATAAGGAATTTTATAAGATGTCTTTTATTCTTGGAGAAATTGAGATTTAAAGAGGTTAAATAACTTTCTGAGAATGACAGCTAGTAAGTAGCTGAGCCAGGATTGAACCTAAGTCTGTCAGAGTTTCTCTCTCCTGTTCTTAAGGCTCTACACTTAAGCAGCTCCTACCATATATTGTGCTGCTTCTGTGCTCCCTCCAAAATAATATTAGTAATCACCATTTGGATGTCTATTAGGAAGTAGTTTAGATGCAATTCTAATCCTTGCAAGAACCCTGTTAGGTAGATACTAATCTCATTTTATAGACGAGAGAACTGAGGCTTAGAGGAGATAAATGACTTGCTAAAGACAGTATTAAAACTTGTGACTGAGCAGGGATTTAGACTTACTGTCTGACTGCAGTTCTCTTTTTGTTATACCAAGTTGCTTTTCTAATAGAAGCTTAACTGGATTTTTTATAAGTGGAGATGTTACATTATTCCTTCTAGAACAGCCTGATGCCAGCCAGTTTATATAGGTAAACATGAAGCCCTATTAATTTTTATTTGTATAAATTAACCTCATATTAATTAAAATTATGAAAAGATTTCATGTAAATTGATTTTTATTTTTAAAGTTTATAATCACCAAAGAAGCTCTATCAGTTGTTTGCTCTTTTTTTCATTGTTATTACTCTATTTTGAAAGAATCATTATGTGTGGGCTTTTTTGTTTTAGGAGGCAGTTCCCATGTTATACTCAGCAGATACTTACGGAGCATTGTAATGAAGTGTGGTTTTGTAAATTTTCTAACGACGGCACTAAACTAGCAACAGGATCAAAAGACACAACAGTCATCATATGGCAAGTTGATCCGGTATGTACTCCAGTATGGGTGTTTAGATAGCAAAAGGAGGTAATTTTGAATCTAATCTTTGTATATTTTTAAAGTATATACATATATAAATAGTATTCTTTTCCAAGTGCTTTTTTTTTTAATCATTTTTGTCACTTCTTACTTTCTCCTATATTGTCTAGATAATATACGTAGATTAGTATTTAAATTGAGTGCTTGTGGTTGTGCTAAATCTGTATGTGTATCATTTTCTGAGTAACCCTGTGAGATATTAACATCTTTTATTTTCAAATGAGGAAACTGAGATAGAAGTTAGATAGATGCCCAGGTTCTCATGGCTCTAAATGGCAGAGTTAGGACTCAAATCCAGGAATGTTTGGACTCCCAAGCCACGTTCTAAATGTCCTGCCAATTGGTATTTTTGTTAATGCTTGATTTACAGAATCAATCCAGTGTCTGTCCATTCTGTCACAGGTTAGAAAGGAGTCACTACTGTTTGCTTCTCTTTCCGCTTCGTGGTCTTGTGTGATCTGTGGAACTTGTGCAAGTCCCCTCCCCTGCCTTCCTCCCCAGTGGTGTCCATGACAAGTACTGTGTTCTGGGTTTAAAATTCTAAATTCTCTCTAAGATCAGGTTTGTCTTTGTTTATACAGATGACGTATAGATGTGTATAAATAAGTATTTGCATTTTTTTCAGCCAAGTGAACATTTATTGAGCAATCAAAAAGTATCTGACTCCAGATAGGTTAAGGGAGGTATATTTGGTTTAGGAGTCAGTCACCTAAAATCATGAAGTAAATTTAGCATTAAAATATAATATTAGCCCAGAATAAAGTTTTGGGAGGCTCCCATGTTGAAAGAATAGAGAAAAAGAGCCATAGAAGGAAAAATTTTAAGAAGAGGAGACTCAGATTTGAGCACATACAGCAGTCATTGTGTACCTGCAGGAAGCTATGAACGATGATGGGTAATTAAGATACGTTTTTTGCCTTAAAGCAAGGTTCTTTACTTTTTTTGTTGTTTCACGTACCCGTTCTTAGCAGTCTAGTAAACAGGAACCCCTTCTCAGAATAACACTTTTAAGTGCAAAACACATAGGAAACCCAATTACATTGAAGTGTAGTTATTAAGATAGTATAAAAACGATTACAGTAGTTATATGCTGCTACTTTATTAACACATTAAATAACAAGTTCTAGTAGCAGATAACTACCTGAATTTTGCAGTAGTGATGAGCATAAACAATATTTTGAGATAATCCACAACAACTCTAATATGATATGAAAATATTTGAATCTCTATTGGTAACAGTCACAGATACTGCTAATACTCCTATGATTAATTGTCTGCGTTCAAGATAGAAGGAAATACTGAATTTCAGGTTGCAGTTAGTGACAGTAAAGATGTGTCTTTTTCCCATTTCAGTTCATGGACCACTGACTCTATCCATGGACCACTTGTAGATCTCAGGTTAAGAACTTCTGCTGAAGGAATGTACACTTTAGAAAGGGAAATAAAGCACCATAAAATCAGCATCCTACAGTATATATAAAGCATTATGAAAGCACAAAGGAGCTTCACAGGTGGGAGTACCACATCGAAGAGATAGTATTTGAGCTTTGTGTACATAATACAAGTGGAGGTAGGGAAAAGGCATTGTAGGAAGAGAGGGTGCTTCACTTGCCATTTCCCCCTTCCCCAGTAAGACAATAGGATGAGTAAGGGCAAGAGTGGGAAATAAGACTAGAAAAAGAGTTTGGGTTCAAATCATGGCCTTTGAATACTGTTCTAAGTAGTTCTAATTTCATTTGGCAGTTATTTGCCAGCCATTGAATTGTCTGAAAAGGAAAGCAACAGTATCAAAACTGTGCTTTACTAAGTTTTTCTAGCAGCAGTGTGTGAGAGTCCCTTCATTTAACAAGTTTTTATTGAGCACCTGCTGTGTGCCAGGCCTCCTGCTAGGGAAGACAGACTGAGCACATGATACAATGTAATTATGCTATCATGAATGCAGGAGCTGGTAGAAGGGATCCAACTGCAGAGCTGGGGAAAGTAAGAAAAGTAAATCTTAGATGAAGGAGGGGGTAAAGAACTATTAGGCAACACTAGCCTAGGAATGACCCTTGTATGAAAGAAAACACGACCTGGCGTTTGGGGCCTTGGGGGAAAGTTTTTGGTAAACTAGGAGATGAGGTTAAAGAAGTAAGTAGCAGCCAGATCAAGGAGGATCTTGTATGCTTTGTTAAGGAGTTTAGACCTTTATGCCAATGTTTTCCAGAGTATTTTTGCCAGAATACTGGGTGTGCAGAATGTTAGTAGGTGTTACGTATACAGGGCTTTTGTGGCTAGATTAGCTTGGGAAATGCAGAGTTAATTCTTACATTTCCAATTTGCAATATGGAGGATTTTCAAGACCATAATTTTTAAATAGGTATACTACAGGAGGAAACGCTGGTGGCATAGTGGTTAAAGAGCTACAGCTGCTAACCAAAAGGTTGGCAGTTCCAATCCACCAGCTGCTCCCTGGAAACCCTGTGGGGCGGTTCTACTCTGTCCTGTAGGGTCACTGTGAGTTGTAATTGACTCACCGGCAGTGGGTTGGGTTATACTACAGGGAGTCCTCTGGGACTGTTTTAATTCTTTTGGTATAATGGCATTTTGTTATGTCAAATAGTGTTTGAGAAAATTTGACATGGCGTTTTGAATGTTTTCTTTGTGTGTGTGTGTTTTTTTAACATAGGAAAAAGAATAGCGAGAGAACCTTAAGGTGTGATTGATGTCATTCTAGTGCCTGGTTTCCTTTAACAGTTTTTCATAAAATGAATTTTAGTCATCCCCCCCAAAAATCTAAGCAAAGTCATATTGATTCAGTGAGCATGAAATTTCCACTTTGAATAGATAATATGTTAGTTTGTTAGTGTTGTACGTGCAGCGATATAGTGTTAATTGCTAATTTTTTTCAACTGCTTTTTATGGGATCATGTCATTTTATTAATGTAGAAAAACAACTGGTTTTTGAATTACATACTTCTGAAAGAGTTTGTCATCAGTTTAGAAGCAAATCTTTGTGCCGATCAGGAAGGCTACTGTGAATGAAAGTTTGTCCTTGAAAGGTCTTGAGTCGTCAGAAAGACTTGACCTGCTTGATAAATTATGCTGGCCACTATGACCTAAGGATGTTACTGATCAAATACAAATACCCCATGCCTCCTAACATCCGCTTCCCAAAAAGAATCAGAAGTAGTTGCATTGTCAACTATTCAGTTTTGTCAAAACAGTAGAGATTTGGACTAGAAAATTGTATGAATGCCGAGACTTGGGGCCCAGTGAAGATACAATCCATTTCTCAGTGACATTTCTGAAAAAAATTCCCAACCTAATTACTTCAGACTAGTTCCAACTGCTTGTAGGTTATCTCCATTGGAATTTCCCACAGGCTCAAAACTGGACTCAGTAAGTCTTTAGACTTGAATTTAAAACTTAACTCATTGTTTCTTCCCACCTCTAGCCAAATTCTTAACTTCCTCTATTCCCTGTCCACATCCATTAAACCAGAAATCTGGAGGTTGTCTTTGAATGTTTCTTGTCACATTCTGTGTGTCAGTTTTATCTCCCAAGCGTTTTTTTTATCTGACCTCTTTCAGTCCTGACCATTTTAGTTTGGACCCTCATTTCTTGTCTTAGCTGTTGGGGTTGCTTTGGCTTATTATGGCTTTCCTTATCCTGTAACTCCTCATGCTGATGCATCTTCCGTGTGGTTGTCTAAATTTTCTCCCTAAAGTCAAACATCCTGTTATATATTCCCAGACTTAAAATTGTAAGCGGCTGTTCACTCACAGGGTACAGTTTAACCCCTTAGCCTAAAATAAACATGTAAAATTTCCCAGCCTTGTCACCTGCCACTTCTTCGTTTGCGTTCTGCTGTTCTGAGTCTGGCAGCCCAGATCCAAATCCTGACACACACTATAAACAGGGCAAGTTTCTGACCTTCCTAAACCTTCATTTCTTCCCTTCATTACCTATGTCTTAGATTAGTGGGCATTGAGGTATTTTTTGTGAGTAGGGCCTGGTGCATTGATTAGCACTAAATTTAATTCCCACTACTAAGTAGTAGCTTTGCTGGTGGCATTATAAAATGGTGCAGCCGCTTTCAAAACAGTTTGGCATGTTCTCAAAATATTAAACATGGAGTTACCTTATGATCCAGCAATTCCACTCCTAGATATCTACAAGGGAAGTGAAAACATACATCCATGCAAAAACTTGTACGTAAAAGTTCATAGCAGCATTATTCATAGTAGTCAAAATATGAAAACAGCCCAAAGGTCTATCAAGTGATGGTGGATAAACACAATGTGGTGTATCAGTATAGTGAAATACCATTTAGCAATAAAAAGGAATGAAGTACTGATACATGTTACAGCATGGATGAACCTTGAAAACACTATACTGAGTGAAATAAGCCAATCACAGAAGACCACACGTTATGATTCCATTTATATGAAATATTCAGAATAGGCAAATCCAGAGAGATAGAAAGTAGATTAGCAGTTGGCAGGGGGTGTGGGGAGAGGGGAGCCCTGGTGGCATAGTGGTTAAGAGCTCAACTGCTAACCAAAAGGTCAGCAATTCACATCCACCAGCCACTCCTTGGAAGCCCTGTGGGGCAGTTCTGCCGTGTTCTTTCGGGTCGCTGTGAGTCGGAATTGTCTTGACGGCAGTGGGATTTTTTTTTTTTTTCGGTGGGGTGGGGGAATGGGAGGTGACTGCTAATGGGTATGGGGTTTTTTACGGGGCGGGGGAATGATGAAAATGTTTTAAACTTCTATGGTGGTGATAGTTGCAAGACTCTGAATATACTAATAATCATTAAAGTGTACCCTTTAAAATGGTCAGTTTTATGGTAGTAAATTATATCTCAGTAAAGTTGTTTTTTTAATAAGAGGTTGCTGTGTGATACCCATCTGTTTTTAGTTAACCTGAAAGGTCCCTAATGATAATTCTGTGTCATCTGTATGTTTCCTTCTCACACACTATGCCTTGTCTATAACCCAAAAACCAAACTCATTGCCATCGAGCCGATTCCAACTCATAGCAACCCTGCAGGACAGGGTAGAACTATCCTACAGGGTTTCTAAGGCTGTAAATCTTTATGGAAGACCCGAGGAGCGGCTGGTGGATTCGAACCACTCACCTTTCATTTAATGAGTGCTTTTAACCACTGTCCCACCAGGGCTCCTTGTCTGTAGTAGACGCTTAATAGGTGTTGCAGTATGAGTGAGTCTTTATGAAGCAAACTGTTAAGAGATTCAGTTGGGGAAAAAGTTGATGTGAAAACTTCTTCGGGTTAAATTGTATTAACAAAGTACATCAGCTATTTTAAGTGTTTGTGCCGGATAACGGTGACTTTAGGAATGAGAGTTAACTGAGTTACCTGTTTTCTCTCCTAGGATACTCACCTGCTAAAACTGCTTAAAACGTTAGAAGGACACGCGTATGGTGTTTCTTATATTGCCTGGAGTCCAGATGACAACTATCTTGTTGCTTGTGGCCCAGATGACTGCTCTGAGCTTTGGCTTTGGAATGTTCAAGTGAGCAAGTTCCATCCTTGGATTAGCCTTTAATTAAAGCAGAGCCACACTGCATGTATTCAGCATAATTGTGTTCTTGTTCATCAATTCAACAGAGCCATTTAACCTAAGTTACTGTAACATATCTCTTACAAAACATAATTCTTCAAGTGGGTCACAAGTGTCCAGATTTATACATATAAATATTATGCTGAGCGTAATAGAGTTTTTGAAAGATCAATATAAGTATGTTCGGGAATGTTGGAACTTGTACTATTTACTGTGGTACTTGCACCTCAGAGAGAGGTGATAGTTGGTTCATAGTTTGGCAGCTGTACGTGAAATTGCCTTGTAAGTGTGAGACGTCGGCATCAAACCAAATTTTCCATTCTAATGGCAGTTTTGTCATCTCCTTACCTATATTTAATATTCTGAGCTAGTTTGGCAAAGCCACGTGGTATTTTGAGTACTTATTATTGGGGCTTTATTACTGTTTCTAAATGAAAACTTGAACTTGTTCAGGGTCCCATTTTAGAAAAACTTAGCATTACATTTACTCCATTATTTACCGGCCATATTTTGGAGGCCTTGTAGTTAGAATTTTTTTTTAAAAAAGCTTATATAAACCAACAGGTTAGGTGATACTTTTTTTTTTAACCCCTAGGCAAAAAAAAAATAGTCCAGGCTATGGGTTAGATCTAAAAGTACAACTCGATGGGTAGGATTTTGAGTCCAGGGGCCAATAAATAAGTTGATTTGTTCAGAGTGTGAAGATAAAGCTCCACAGAGATTATTGAAATAATAAAGATGGTTTAGAGGACAGAATGAATACTAAGATGTACCTGAAGATGATATGCCATAATTTTAATTCAGCTATTTTAATATTAAAATCTTACTGCTTAGTTATTTCCTTATGTTTCAACCTTACCTTTTTATTTCAAAATTTTTCAAAAATGTTAAAATACTAATAATGATGACCTGTGTGCTGACTACCCTAGATTCAACAGTTTTTGAATCTGTTTTCAGATTTTTGTTATCTTGTGTATATGTACATGCATACATAGATACGTACACATATATCCATGTTCAAAACATTTGAAAGTAAATTCCAAACGTATTTACCCCTAAGTACAAAAGCAAGTATCTCCTAGAAAACGACATTCCATATAACCAAATACTGTTATTATATCTAAGAATATTAACTGCAATTCTGTAACATTATCTAATACTCATTTAATAATCAAAAATCCCCAGTTGTTCAAAAAATCTCTTTTATGCTTTTTTTATCAAACCAGAGTTCAAGATTCACATGTTGTGAACAGAACACATGGCTTTCTCAGTAAAACAGAACTTGGAGTGAATCTGACCTGAACATCAGAAGAATTTTTTTTTTCCCATTGAAAGTCTTTTCCCCTTCCTCAGACGGAGGAGGCGTGTAATCTAAATCCTGTAATGTTGTTGTTGGGTGCTGCGGAATCATTTCCGACTCACAGCGACCCCATGTACAACAGAACAAAACACTGCCTGGTCCTGAGCCACGCTCAGAATCGTTGCTGTTTGAGCCCATTGTTGCAGCCACATGTCAGTCCATCTCATTAAGGGTCGTCTTCTTTTTCACTGACCCCCTACTTTAGCAAGCATGATGTCCTTCTCCAGGGACTGGGCCCTCCTGATAACATGTCCAAAGTATGTGTGACGAAGTCTCGCTATCCTCACTTCTAAGGAGCATTCTGACTGTACTTCTCCATGATAGATTTGTTTGTCCTTCTGTCAGTCCATGTATATTCAGTATTTGCCAACACCATCGTTCAAAGGCATTGATTCTTCTTCTGTCTTCCTTATTCACTGTCGAGCTTTCACATGCATATGAGGCCACTGAAAATACCATGGCTTGGGTCAGGCACCTTAGTCCTCAAGGTGACATCTTTGCTTTTTAACAGTTTAAAGAGGTCTTTTGCAGCATATTTTCTGGATAAAATACGTTATTTGATGTCTTGACTGCTGCTTCCATAGGCATTGATTGTGGATCCAAGTCAAATGAAATCCTTGACGACATCAGATTCTGTACCTAGTGGCTCTTAATGCACAGTGTCTGTGTGTTCTTTGAATCAACCTTGAATTTCTGGAGAATTCAACTACGTACTTTATATATTTAAATTTGTTCTAAGAGGGTGGCCTTTTATTCCATTTTCAATTGTTTGTGTTTTTAAGTAGATTTCTAATAATTTAATAGCCTCATATACTCACTATACTGAGCATAACAGGAAAAATGACCATTTCTGCCTTCATATCTTACTATGTTAACGTATTTGTGAATAGAAAATGATTCTAAGATTCTAGGTGTTGCATGTGTATTTGTGATCCTAAATTTTTATTTTAACTGCTTCTGTCAAGTAACCCAAAGAGGTAAATAGATGAGCGTAGTTAACAATTTGGGGGAAGGATTTAGATAGCTGAATTTTTTTTTTTTTCCAGTGTAAGGGAGACATCTAGTTTTCTGTTTTTGTGCCCTCTTTGCTTTTATTACTTGCCCCCATTTCCTAATCATACCCTTTGTTTTCACTCTTATTTTTACTTTTGATTACCCATTTCTCACAGGAAGTTATGCCCATGTACTTTTTATTATACCAAGGGCAGCTATTATCTCTCAGATCCTGTTTCTAATCCATGAACAAAATGGAATCAAGACTAGATTAAATGGTATGTGTCTACCTTCTAAGTTGAATAACTTAGAAAACATTAGCAGGAGGATATCTGAGGGTTGTAATCACTAAATACCCTAACTTAGCTGGGAATGCTTTAGAATGGCTATGCTAAAACAGTACAAAGTTCCTTTTTCTTTTCTACTACTTTCAAAATAAAGTTATATGTTAAAAATAATTTTCAGTTTTCTCATGTTCCCTACTACATTTTGAGCATCTTAACTACGAAATTTAACGTAATTTAGGCTACCCACATCCTTGGCTTAGTTTAAGGACATAGCTTTTCTACTCATTAATTATGTTTTTGAGGAATTGCAATTGTGTTAACTGCATTTTTAGATGAAAATTTATACAGAACTAAGATGAGAAGTAGAAGCTTAGAGCAATAGATTTTGTAACCTCGAGCTTTTCATCATCGTGCTTGAGAAAAATTACATTAGTTTCAGTTTATGAATGCAGTGGATTTAAGGTGAGGGTTGATTGGAGTTAATCTCATCGTTATCTATATTTTGGGTCACCTCTGCCAGGCATTGCTCAACCCCTGGCTTTGTCTTTAAGTCCTTTCTCTTCTGAGTGCTATAGTGTTTTTTATAAAGTTAATTAAAACAATTCGTTTCTCTAATTAGGAATACCAAACTAACAGATATCTGGTTATTATTCTTTTTTTTCTTTACACATCCTTTTAGAGGGATATCTAGAGGGTCTTATCCACAGTTTTATTTCTTTGTAGACGGGAGAGCTAAGGACAAAAATGAGCCAGTCTCATGAAGACAGTTTAACAAGTGTAGCTTGGAATCCAGATGGGAAACGCTTTGTAACTGGAGGTCAGCGTGGGCAGTTCTATCAGTGTGTAAGTATTTAGTGTCCCTTTCTAAATGTCTGCTGATTTCAAAGCAAATTGAGTTTTGTTGAAATGAAGAATTCACTTGACTCAGTATCTGTTTTAAAATACACTACATGAAGACCTACTTTGCCATCTTCCTAGATAAGCACTGCCCAGTAGAACTTTCTGTGATGATGGAAATGTTCTGTAGCTGCACTGTCCCATACAGTAGTCACTAGCCACATGTGACTGTGAAGCACTTGAAATGTAGCTATTGTGTGAGTAAGGAACTGAATTTTTACTTTATTTAGTTTTTTAAAATTCAAATAGCCACTTGTGGCCTGCCAGTGGCTACGCTGTTGGACACTATAGTCCTACATCAAACTTAAGTCAAAAGAGAATTGTTTTTAACGTACCCATGAAACAGGATCAACAAAATAAAGCTGTTTAGGTTTTTTCTTTTCTTTTTTTCTATCTTTCTTGCCATTTCAAGTGTTATACAAAGTATAGACCTTGAGGTTAGTAAAACTTAAAAAAAATTGTGTTGCTACATGTTTTTGTTTTCCTAAATAAGTTTTTAATTTATAGGAATGAAAAGATATAGTACTTAATTTCTTTTGAGGTTTTTAGCCCTTTGAATTTTTATATTTTAAGAAACAACACAAACACAATGCCGAGTGTCAGTAGTAGACTGTCATGAGGAGTAAAGATGGTGATGAGTACTAGCAGAGAACTTGTCAGTCTTTATGTGAGTTATCTTCTGATCAAAATCTGCTCAGTTATTTTGGATTGTTGGATTGGTAAACATGAGTGATACGTCGAAAGTCTGACACGCTAACCTACGATACAAATTCAGTACCATTTCTGTTCTGTCTGGATTCTGTTTTTCCTCCCACTGCTACGCATGGTTCAAGACGCATGGGTCAAGCAGACACTCCTAGATTTATTTTTAAGACCAAAATTAAACAAGCTAATAAACCCCATCAAATCATTTATATGAAGCTAAAGATTGCCTGTCAAAAAGACTTTTATGTAGCCATTACAAGTTATCGATTTATTAAGCTGGCCATGAAACGCTTGGAATCGAATGTCCCGTTACCTTGGCATGGTGATAGCCATTAGTTTTTAATTGCCTGGATGCAAGAAAACCACGTATGCTTCTGCTGTCTATGCCATCCCATACGTGTTTGAACTTCAGGATATACGACTCGCAAGTCCCTCGTCTGTAAAATGGGGAGAGTGATGCCCCTTGGAGCTTTGAATGTTTTGTGAGATATAATGACTGTAAGAGCTTTGATCTGTGGAGCACATTACAGATTTTGTTGAGTTTTATAAAACATCATAATGGATTCCTAAGTTCTATTTAAAGCTATAATTAATGTTTTAAGTAATCTTTTTCCATATCACAACTTCTGAATATTACAGGACAAATCCAAATATAGTAAACTTTTAAGCAGTGTTTAATTATTTTCCAATAAGAGTGAGACCTTTACTTGGAATTTAGGGTTGTTTTCTTTCTTTGTATTTTATTTATTTATGCATAGCAGATTACTGAAGATAGATTTACAGAAATCCCCTACCCCTTAGGTATTGTTGTAATGAGTTTTGACCTGTACTCAAATTCTCATAATTAAAAACATTCTGGAACAATTAGGTTGAGATCAGTCTCAGGAAAAAACAAACTATTACTAAAAGGTATCTATTGCTAAGAGATTTTTGTTTGTTTTGGTGCTTCGTTTGCTCTTCTGAGTGCTGTTCAGTAGAGTTAATAGCAGTTTTCTCCTGATCAGGATTTAGATGGTAATCTCCTTGACTCCTGGGAAGGGGTGAGAGTGCAATGCCTTTGGTGCTTGAGTGACGGGAAGACTGTTCTGGCATCAGATACACACCAGCGGATTCGGGGATATAACTTCGAGGACCTTACAGATAGGAACATGTAACTATTTTTTGTTTCCATAAAACAATGAGTATCTGACTTATATTAAAATATGTAGTGGGGTTTGCTTTTTCAGAAGAAGAGTTTTTATTATGTTTTTGGTATTGATTTGTTTGGTAGTTTGGATTATGAATGGATAGTCAGATGGTGCTTAACTTGTTGCCATCAAGTCGATTCCAACTCAGCAACCCTATAGGAGGAGTAGAACTGCCCCATAGGGTTTCCAAGGAGGAGCTGGTGGATTCGAACTGCCCATCTTTGGTTAGCAACCGTAGCTCTTAACCACTGTGCCACAAGGGCTCCTAGGTCTGACTTAGTAATCGTTAACTCAGATTATTTTGTAGTATACAATAGTGATAGTGGGCAGAATTGTGGTATAGAACATAATTAGCAGAACATTGTATATTTTAATAATTCGAATGCCTTGATTCTTAGTACATTGCTTTTGACAAATGATCTTTTGGTTACAGAGTACAAGAAGATCATCCTATTATGTCATTTACTATTTCAAAAAATGGCCGATTAGCTTTGTTAAATGTAGCAACTCAGGTAAGCTTATTAATATAATTTTTAGAAACATTCAGCTTAATTCAAATTTTTTCTTAGGGATTTTTAGTGTGTATGTACATAAGCAAGAAGATTTCTATTTATTTTTAAATTTTATTGCATGTCTTTGATCCTTAAATGAATCAACCATAAATTTACCAGAACATTGGCATTTTGCATACATAGAAAATGAAAATGTTCACAGATTACATTTTTGAGTTGAGGTAGAATAAAACCTATATTCTTTTTTACCTTTAGGGAGTTCATTTATGGGACTTGCAAGACAGAGTTTTAGTAAGAAAATATCAAGGTGTCACGCAAGGGTTTTATACAATTCATTCGTGTTTTGGAGGCCATAACGAAGACTTCATCGCTAGTGGCAGTGAAGGTAAACGTTTGTAACACTATCACATATGCTGATGGATTTAAAACCCTGTATTTCCTCAATTTGTGAAGGTAATCATGTCTCAAAGCAAATTGAAGACGTTAAATTAAAATCTCTATGTCTTATTTATCCAATACACTACTGATTTCCCCTTTTTTTGGAGTGGCTTGGGCCCTCCTTACTGTCAGGAATAGTACCCTTTTTGGCCATGGGGAGGTGTGTTTGGTGGATCTGTCACTTCAAGATTTGTTTGAATCACTATCCTTTTGTTTATTGACTCGTTTTTTCATGGGACTGGTGATTTTCAGGGGTTGATGGTGTCTAAAATGTCACAGTTTATTTTGATGTTTCACATGAACCTGGGCAGAATTAATTATAATTAGATCTTCAGTATTTCTTCAGTGGCTATAGAAAATAATTCAGTTTGATAATTCTTACTGTTTCAGAAAAGCTGAAATTACCAGAATTGGCTCTACTACCCTTCTGAATAAACTTATTATTCTCCAGTCTAACACCGTCCATATTTTAGGCAGGCATATCCTAAAGTATTTGGTCTAATTTAAAATACAAACGGTTTAAAATATGCAAACACAGATAAGTGAGGCAATATCAAAATTTAGGGTACTTTTTAAGGTGATAAGAACATAAATAATTGCAGAGTAGTGCAAATTTTCATTCAGCACATTTTTCTTGAGTATTTACTATATTTATTGTTCTAGGTACTATTGCAGCAAATTAAGTCACTTTTTAAAATACTGAATCTAGCTTTATAAAATATGTCAAGGAACTGGATTATGTTGGTAAATTCTTGGTTATGTTCCTTTTATTGTATAAGATACATACTATATCTTGACAAAAAGCCTGTTGTCAGTGGGTAAGAGAATCCACAGAGTGGCGTGAGTTTTCCTCTGTGAAGAGCACATATTTTTAAGGATTGGGACAACGAAGACATTTAAGGACTTAGATTTTAACGTGAAGCATATGAATTTATCTATTCTTTCTTCATCCAGGAATCATAGTGTCAGGCAAGACTGGGAGGAGAGGAAAGTGGCTTTTTAGGCAATAATTGTGAGTTCATTTCTTTCCAGTGAGCAATTCTGTTTACCTGTTAGTTTAATCCTATCATCATCTTCCAGATTCCACATTGGTTTTTAGTTGGCTTTTCCTATAGTTTAAATATGTTAAGCTTTCTACTTGCCTTTTCTTTCTTCTTTCTTTTTTTTTTTTTTTTTAGCTTCTACTCTAAAATGTCTTTCCCCAGGTTCTATTCAATCCTGCTTCTGGTGGGTTCCTTCCCTCTTAATTATGCCTCAGAATTCCCCATAGCTATTTCTAAAAATAACATGTGCCCTAGAGGTGCTTTAAAATATATAGGGCTACCACTGTCTTACGTGATGACAGTTTTTCCTTTTAAGCCCAAACTAATTTAGAACTAAATCTGATGAATAATGTAATTAAACTACATTTTATTCTGCTTGGGGCTAAAAATGAAACGTAACTAGGAAGTAAAGAGATTAGTTTTCTTATGAGTCAAGTAGTTTAAAATGGTTCTAAAAATGCTTTGAATACCAGTTGGATGTAAAAAAAAAACAAAAACCCACACTTGCAGTCGAGTCGATTCCAGCTCATAGTGACCCTACAGGGCAGAGTAGAACTTCCCTAGAGGGTTTCGAAGGCTGTAAGTCTTTATGGAAGCAGACTGCTACATTTTTATCCCGAGGAACGGCTCGTGGATTTGAACTGCCAGCCTTTTAGTTAACCACTGTGCCACCAGGGCTCCTTAATTGGATATAAAACAACCAAAAATAAAAACCCATTGCTGTCAGGTTGATTCCAGCTCAGTGACCCTATACCCATTGCCATCGAGTCGGTTCTGACTCATAGCAACCCTATAGGACAGAGTAGAACTGCCCTGTAGGGTTTCCAAGGAGCGGCTGGTAGATTGGAACTGCCAGCCTTTTGGTTATCAGGCAGGCTCTTAACCACTGTGCCACTATGGCTCCAGCAACCCTGTAGTTCGATGTAGTGGGTATATTATCTTCCAGTATGACCACGGGAATCCATTTGTCATTTATTTACGAGGAATATGTTTCATGGTATACAAATCCCCAAATATATTAGTGCCTGTATAAAGTAGAGCAGTTAGGAAACCTTTCCCTCAAGGAAGTTGTGCCATTACCCAAGCTTTTTCATTGTGCTTTGCTAATTATAAGGAAAAACTAGACTGACTTTTACCTTTGAGTAAGTACTGGATTTCCCAGACTCACAGAGCCAGTAGAGCTTGATCATAAAGCCTGTCTTCCTGACCTTGGCTACTTCAAATCCTCATTGTCGCTCCTTCTTCAGAAAATACCCTCCTTGGTTATGTGTTTCCCAAACATTTTCCTCCAAATATAGACAGCTTTCAATTGAATTCACACTTTTCAAGCCTCCATTGTGAACTTCTTTAGTTCAGGAGAAAACACAGCTAATTTACTTTCTTTTCTTAATTTCATTTTAGGCAAGGCAAAAATAATCAAATTATTGAACAAAAAATTCAGCATCTTCAGTTAGTGGGTCTATCTTTTGCTTCACAAAAAAGTTGAAGTACATTCCTAGCTTTTTATCTTTATGTCAGGAATTTTGAGTCCAGGACTTACTCTCACACCACAAGTTAATTACCCTTTTACCCCTCTGACGTTCCCTCAGCTGGCAGCACACCCACGGAGAATTCCCACATCGACCACGTGGTGGACTGATGCCATCAGACTGGGCTCTTCTGATTTGCCCCGAGGCTGCCTTCTGTGTGACAGCCATCACCCACGCTTAGCTACCTGTCTCTGCACAGCAGTGCGTGTTTACAGTGCGCTAGACTCAGACTCCGTTCAGAACACTTTTTCACATACAGACTTGTTTAATCTTAACAACAGCATGAAATTGTTAGTTTTACAGATGAAGAGTTCCAAAGAGTGAGTGAGTGGCCCAGCAGTACACAGCTAGTCAGTGGTAGGGGGAAGGTTTGACCTTGGGTATCTCACTCCAGAGGCCATGCTCTTAACCACCGCCCTGCAGTACTTGCAGTATTCATTTCGAAGATAAGTTCATCACAGAGAAAGTTGTGGGAGTTTTTGATTTTCATGGTCACTTCATGAAATTATGAATAGCCTGCCACTAAGCCGTATCGTAATGCAGATACAGAACGGTATCTAGACTCCCTAGTAAACTGTGAGCTGGGCTGTCTGGATTGAGTCCCAGCTTTACCTTTTACTAGCTCTTAACCATGATCCAAACATTTCACCTCTCAGTGCTTCGGTCACCATCCACAAGGGATAAGCATGATCCCCACGTCGCGCGGTGGTGGTGAGGGTTAAATAGTTAGTACACATAAATACTTAATACTTTGTTCTTCATAAGCACTCAATAAAGACTTCGCTGTCATCTTCATTGTTGTTGTTTAATTTAGATTCATGGCTTTTCTGTTGCCTCAAGAGTCCATAGAACGACAAGGACAAATATTTATCCTCTTTATGCTGGATTTGCTTACAAAGATCTTGATTTGTTTTATTACTCATGTATTGACAGAATATTTCAGGTAGATTTTTTGGTGACTTGATGTGAGTTGATCACCTACAACAGAAAAAATAAAATGTATATTTTATTAAAATGGCCTCGCATGAGGTAATTTGTTTAACTATTCATATGTTATATTCTGCCTTCAAGGTATAGTTACCAAAGTCATATGTTGTATGTATAGCTTTAAATGATAAACGTAAAATCCGTTGGTTTTGTTAATGTAAAACAACCCCTGACTCTCCTCTGCATTGCTGTTTCTTCAGATCACAAGGTTTACATCTGGCACAAACGGAGTGAGCTGCCAATCGCAGAGCTGACAGGGCACACGCGTACAGTAAACTGTGTGAGCTGGAACCCACAGATTCCCTCCATGATGGCCAGCGCCTCAGATGATGGCACTGTTAGAATATGGGGACCAGCACCTTTTATAGACCACCAGAATATTGAAGGTAACACGATTGTACAGCATTCTGTGGTTTTTTCCAGATGAAAATATTACCTTGCTTATTATCAGCCTACAGCACTTTTAAACAGTAATTTATTTAAAGTGTGGTAGATGATTTATTTTCTCCTCCTCTTTTAGAGATTTTACCTTATCTCACCCAATAGGAGGAGTTTGTTTAAACTAAGATCCAGTATGGTTTTTTGTTTCTTATTTATTAATTTTTTCTATTTCTTTTTTAAGTGATAGTAGGAAGAATAAGTTGGAATATTCTACTGTATTTACATCCAGTTAGCTATTTAGTATTGTCACTTTAAAAATCTTATTGAAAAGATATTCTTCCATGCTACCTAAACGTAATATTTGATCAAGTATTTTATATTTAAGAGATAAATAACTAATTTACGGCACACGTGAAAAGTAAACCAGCTGCCGTTGAGTTGATTTCAATTCATGGCAACCCCCGTGTATGTCAGAGTAGAACTGTGCATCTAGGTCTGAAAGATTTTTTCCACTGTTTTGAGATACTCAGAGTCCCTGGGTGGCACAAACAGTTAAGTATTGGGCTACTAACCAGAAGAGGTGCCTCCAAAGAAAGGCCTGGCAATCTGCTTCCAAAAGGTCACAGCCTTGAAAACTGTGTGGAATGCAGTTCTACTCGTAAACACATCGGGTTGCCATGTGTTGGAATTGATTTGGCAGCAACTGGTTTGGTTTTGGATTCGAGATACCTGGAGATGAAGAAAGCCGAAAACAGCACACAGTAAAGAACAGAAGTGTAAACTGAGCACGCAGTCAGCGGGAGAGAGAAGAGGCTATGAGAACTTTTATGTAAATGACATCACTTTTTTCAGATAGAGCAAGTAACATGCTTAGTTTGTTTAGATGAAGTAATTTACCTAGAAACAGATGGACCTGTCTTGTTTTACATGGCCAGCCCCACCTAAATGCTTTAGTAGGAAAGACAAATAACCGCTCTCAGTTAAGTGATTTTCAGTGGAGGGGGTAGCATGTAAGGTTTGAAAAAATATATTCTCTGTACTTTTTTTTTTTTTGTCTTCTGATACAAATTGTAGAACACTTGACCAGATCTTAACTGGTAGGTGAGGATATGCAGCCAGAGACGAAGAATATGATGAGGAGTGCCTAGGTCAGAAAGCTTGAACTGCTGCTCTGTTGCACAGAACCTCGATGGGCCATTTTGTATTTGTAGGTTACTGTGCGGCCTTCTGACATTCTCTAGGAAGTCCGCTAAGACCAGAAACGTTTGCCTTTTGTCATCCTGTTCAGGTTTCAAGGCCCTCTGGACAGATTCTGTAGAGCTGTGTGACTGATCGTATGTGCTTCTCTAACTTGATTAGTCACTGGGAAGTTGTTTCTTCAAGTAAGCATATTTGATTTGAAGAAACAGGAAAATCTTAGGTACAGAGTAACAGATTGACTCAGTGGATTTATTTTAGAGGTACTTTTGAGGATATGTTTATATCTATGTTTATGCCTCCACTAAAGTGGAACGTTTGTGCCTTCACTGCTGTTTGGTGAATTTGATTCATGTGGATGCTCGACTCCTGGCAAGTGAGCCACATTTTGGTCCATTGGTAAGATCTGGGTCCAATTAAGCAATTTTCCACTGTAGTTGGGCAATATAGGTATAGCCCTAAAAATATCTTCATGTGAAGTAGGAAAACAACTCCTAGCCAGATATTTGGTTGTATGCTTTTAATGCAGGTATCTTCTGGGTCTCCCCACACCCCCGGGGGGAAATAATTTTTTGTAATTAAAGTTATTCCTGTTTGGAGTACAAAATTTGAAAATTATAGATGAGACTAAAGAAAATGATACTCAAATAAGATACTATAAATCATTTAAATAAAAATATCATCTGACAACTTCATTTCCAAAGAGAATTTGCTGACCTTTTATTGTAACAGTAGAGTTACATACTATGTGTATTTGTTTGAAGGATGTATAAAATGGAGTAGAATGAAGTACTGATACATGCAAAAACATGCATGAACCTTCAAACCTTAGGCTGAGTGAAAGAAGCCAGACACAAAACTCACATGTTGGCTGATTCCACTTACGTAAATGGTCCAGAAAAGGCAAATCCAGAGAGACAGAACGTGGATTAGTGGTTGCTTAGGTAGAGAGCGCCGGAGACAGGAGGGAAGTGGGGAGTAATTGCTACTGGGTGATGAAATATTCTAAAATTGATTGTGGTGATGGTTGCATAACCCTGTGAATATATAGAAATTACTGAATTGTGTATTTTAATGGGTGAATTGTATGTTCTGTGAATTATATCTCAATTATGCATTTACACACAAAAGAAAAAAATGGAGAAGCGTGCGTGATATTACAGAATTCTAAACTGAGCAGCTGAAAGGGGAGTTAACCAAATACATACCTATAATGCAGAGTTCCAGGGTTCCACCTTAGACTACAGGTCTTTCTTTCCTCTTTTCTGTTGTAAGCTATCATAAAGATTTTTCTATTCAGCATAACTATTTCAAGGTTTATTTAAAAAGCATGAAATTTCAACATGATTACTCATTTGGGTTCTCTGTTAATCAAAATGATCATGAGTTTAGACTGTACTGTATGGCCTGTGGCATGATGCAGACACATTGTTTTAATGATTATGACAAAAGTATCAAGAATTTGCTTTGGTGTGATTATTTTTTTATGGGGCTATATTTTGTAGTGTCATGATGCTGATTTTAAAACATTCTAACTGGTAACTTTTTTCTCCCTCTTCCTTTTTCTCCCCACCCCCCAATACACATTTCATCTTGTCTTCATCCAGAGGAATGCAGTAGCATGGATAGTTGATGGCGAATTTGGAGCAGACGACTTCTGTTTAACTTAAAATTAGTCGTATTTTAATGGCTTGGGATTTGGTGCAAACAAACATGATTGATAGCTGGACAGACATGCTCGTCATGAAAAAAGAACCATTTCTGAAGCCCGATTGGGGCCAAACATTTACACCTTGCTTCATAGTAACCAGTTGAGATGAAGCACGTCGTTAGAACGTTGTTGGACACCATGTTGAATTATCCCCCCATCGGTTGTGAAGAACTGTGCTACATTCAGGCTTACCCATTGAACTCAGTATATATATTTTTTTCCCTCCTGCCTTTTGTCTGGCAGGATACCATTCTTGTTGCTCTTCTGTGTAATGAAGTTTAAATGCTTGTTTGGAAAACTTTATTTAACAGTTTAGAAGGCTCGATAGAGTGCATTAGTCCGAAGAGTATACATTGGATAGGAAAGAATTTCCTTCTTTTGTTTCTCCAAATCTTTCCGCCTTATTTAGCTTGAGATCTTTGCAGCTTGGTTCATGGATTCTAGCCTTGCCCGTTGCGCAGTATATACTGATCCAGATGGTAAACCAGTGAACTATGTCAGAAGCACTCTCAATATTACATTTGACAAAAAGTTTTGTACTTTTCACATAGCTTGTTGCCCCGTAAAAGGGTTAACAGCACAATTTTTTAAAAATAAATTAAGAAGTATTTATAGGATTAAAGTGACTTCATTTGTATACATTTGGAATCTAAACCAGCTTAAAAACAGTTTCCTCTGTGACTTAGATACGCAGTGTAACTGATACTCTTCCGGAGTACCATGAGACACGGTCAGAAACAGTGCTTGGAGGGACATTACACAGAACGTGAAGAGTAATACTTTGAAGGTTTCCCCCCTTTTGTTTTATTCCTAAAGAAATATCAGTACCTTGATCTTGAAGAAATTCAAGCTTTTAAAAGAATTTTAAATAAATCCAATATGAGAGCTCAGTCATCAGTTGAGGTTTTCAAGAAAGCTTGTTCCAAGTTGTTCTCAACTTGGGACATCGTTTTGGTGTGATCTAGCAAGAGAGTAGAAATCAGCAGACATGACCACTTTGGAAGTTCATAATGTACTTGTTAGGAAAATACAGCAGGGTATAAACATACTGGAACTGGGTTTAAAACCTCACAGTGAATCATTTCCCTTAATTGCCCTTAATATTTTGACATATAGGAGACATAAATTTAAAGAATATTTCTTCTCAGTTTTTCAGATATTGCCATACTGAACCTCATTCTAAACTGGTGCTGTGGGTAGTCTTTCCCTCTCCCCTCTCCTTTTAGTATAAGGAAAGGTTTCCTTCATGGAAAAGCACTTATGATGTTGAAAATTTCACATTTAAAATAAGCCAAAAGCCTGATGTTCACATTGTGCTTTTAAACCCTCTAACAGCTGAATACAACACACTTAGTCTCCGTTGAAATGCCCTCCCTTTTCAATAGGGATAAATACGGTGACCGCAGCTGTTATGGTAGGAAGGAGTGCGGATACCCCCAAAATACGATTCTGGTGAAGAACAGGTCTTATACTGAGTTCCCCTTTAGGCCCATCCAAGTTGTATCATTACTATAAGTAGACGCCCTCAGGATCCACGAAGAGAAGGCGTGGGTGTCAGGAGTTCTCCCTCTGTTGGGGGTGGGGTAGAGGGGGTGGCAACAGGGAGGAAGGGGAAATCAGGGAAGGGGAGAAGAAAGAAAAACAATTGGCCTTAAAATATCATGGATTCTCCGAGAAACTCATAGAGAAAAATGACGGATATTGTGGTCAGCAGATTATTTTATCAAATTGGTATGTAAAAGATTTCTTTAAGCTCCATTTTGCAGAGACCACCGCTTAGAGAATCAAAGAATTCCTGTTTTGATACTTCCGAGTTAAAGTATATGTTACAGTTTATCTGGTACTTCATTTTTCGTAACTAAAATTACTTTTTACTTTAAGCTTGAATAAAAATCTTCATTGGTAACTGTATATAATTAAGTGGCAACTTCTCTTTACCTCAGTACAGTTAAAACCAGTCATCTTTTAAGTGAGTCATGTACTATACCCTGAAGCCATTAATACACCCCAGTCTCTACGGTAACATCACTAACAAAATGTGGGCATAGGAACTCCACAGCTGTTGGTTACAGTGTGCGATGGGTACATTGTAACATTCACTGAGATCTGTGCCCATTCAGGGCAATTGGCACTCAGATCCTACTGTGTGCTTCACCCAGCCACCCCTAGATCTGAGTATAGTTAAAAACACTTGAAGAAAGTGGAGTACATGTGAGTCACATTTTACAAGAACATAACTCCATTAAAACGGAGTAACAACTATGCAAAGGTTTCTATAGCAGCTAGGTGAGTTTGCTTTCCAGGTCTGTCTTAACTGGCAGCTTCTATATACACTGGTTTGCTGTGCCAACTTGCTGTAAACATCTGTTTCATACATCTGCCATGCAGTGACTGTGCTAGAAAGGTGAAATAAACGGTGAAGAAACCTAGGACTTCATGGTACAAAGAACCTGATGGCAGGATTTTCTAATCCATAGCTAGTAACCGAAAACTTCTGAGATTGCTACCGACTCTAACGTAGGCATAAGGGAAGAAGCAAAGTGAGAATACTGTCAAGCCAGCCACAAGATACTAACAAATGTAGAAATTGAAAAGTACCAATACTTTTTGCACATAGATCAAAATAAAGTGGAGATTTTTGGCTCCAAAAAATCAGGTTAGTAGGTTCATTTCCATGTGCTTAAAAATGTTTTTGTTGTTTTTTTCATTGATGAAGGGCTAGAGCAAGCATAAAATTAAATGTCTTTTTCCTCCAAATAATTGGTGGTTAATGGCAAAATACTGGATTTGGAGTTGCTAAGATTGGTGTGTGGGTGGTGATAAAGAATTAGAGTGGGAAATTAGTTGGGAGGGATGCCAAAGCTTCATTTTTTATTTTTTGTATTAATATTCATGCCAGCTACATTTCTGTTGCTCTTATTGGGCAGATAAATAAGTTATGTTAAACCAGGTAAGTAGTTTAAACAGGAAATTTTGTTAAAGTCCCTACAAATTGGCCCGTTTTAGTGGGTGGGAGAACAAAAAGGTATTCCCTAACTGGAAATACAAACTAAGTGATCAAAATAACCTGCTAGTTGAAAGAAAGATCCAATTTTGTCAATATTTTCTTAATCTGAAATCACACAAGTAGTAAGTAATGATGGTGATTATTGTTACGAGTGCTCTGCCTCTAGTGGCGTTCCATGACATTAATAGAAAATCCTTCTTTCCCACCCCTCCCCATCTTGAAATTTTCTTTTTTAGGATGTTGGTTCCTGCAAACAAGAACTGACCCTATCACCTCTGCCTCACAGTGGGTAAATGTATCGCACATCTCTTGAAAGGGACATGTCCATGTCAGTTTCTTTACAGCAGAAGAATGGCTGCTTTTGAATGGGAAGGAAAGAAGACAATTTTTCTTAATATCCTTTTTGTCCCAAATCAAAAATATATAAATACCTTGAATGGGTTTTACTTCCTCATTTAGACTTAAGCAACTCTCCTTTTGGGTTGCTCTCCAAAACGTTATTTCCATTTCAGAAACCATATCTGATTTAACATAAACTAACTATAGAAGAAGAGGTGAATTTGCATTTACACTTAGACACTTTCTAAAAACAGGGTGAACTTAATTGAAATTTTTCAGTGTTGTTAAGCTATTGTTATAGTAGCTGCCCTATAGTTGGAAAAACAAAAACTTATAAAAACCCATCCCCTATCTCCTTAATCCAGATAGCCTGGATTCAGTGAAACTGATAGTATAAAAGTGTGTGTCTGTGTGCGCGTGTGTGTTGTGTGTCTGTGTGGGAGAGAGAGACTTTTTTAATAAAAAGTCCTGGAAACAGCTGTTCTAGGTTTTGTCGATTTTACTAAAATCTTTAAAAGTCTCGTGCACATGTGCAGTGCCCTCTGGCTGGAAGATGTGGTTAACACTGGTATATTTTTGTAAGATTGAAGTTGTCTCCCCACTTTTAACGCAAACATTTTCATTATCAGGGTCAGTTTGCTAGAACTGAATCATAACATTTTTAGGCACAGATGGAAAAAAATGTTACTGGCTCCTTGAAAATTGTGTGTGTGTGGCGCGGGGAATGGATCCACAAAAGCATGTATGTACTTACAAACCAAGCTGTAGAGATCAAGAAAAGAACTGAAGTGTTGATCTCAAGATTTCTAAATTATCAAAAGATATACATGGAGTTGTGGTGGAACTAGTTAACACTTAGAGCTTTTGGAATGTAATGACTGTTTGCTATGGACTGACTGATTAAGTGTTTCAAAGGATTGTGTTCTTAAATTTGGGGGGGTTTTGGGTTTTGTTTTTTTGTGTTGCTTTTTTTTTTTTTTTAACTTCCTCTCAGATTATATTTAGTAGTTTAAATTTCTTTGCTATATTATTTCATTAAAGCATAAAAACTTCAGGTCTCTGATATTTATTTTCACTTGTTCTAATTATTTACAAAACACTCTTTGTTAACTTTTATTTTATAAATTTGTAGTATATTAAACGTCTTTAAAATACTGTTCAATTGAAACTACGTTTACTTTGATTTGCTTTCCTGGGATTTTTTTTTTTTTTTAACACACCTTTTCCATGTCAGTGCGAAGCACTTAACCAGTCGTTTGTATTCCCTTTCTTTCAATCCAATAAACAGAATGAATAACAAGTAATTTTTGGTGTATTAAATCTCCTAATACCCATTAATCTGCATGTTTAAATAGTACTGTTTTTACCCAAAACAACCAGTTTGCTGAATTTGAGTTCCATCCGTTTGCCTAGAGTTCTGCAAGTGGTGTGCACAGAGCACTCCCTGGTCTGCTGGATTATCTGTTTAAAGGGCCATTGTGCGGTCACCGACTGAGAAAAATTGAAGGATCATTTGCATTTTAAAGGAATCATGTGCCCCATTTTGTTAAAAATATTACTGCAGCTAGACTTATGCGCTTAAGCATTGGCTATGTGCAGAGTAGAACTGCACTCTTACAGGGTTTTCAAGGCTGTGACCTTTCGGAAGCAGATCAAGCAGATCGCCAGGCCCGTCGTCCCAGGTGCCTCTGGGCGGGTTCCACCCTCCAACCTTTCGCCTAGTAGTCAAGTTTAACCCTTTGCACCACCCAGAGAGTCCGAGCACTTTGTAGACATTATCTAATTTAAACTTCTACCTCTGTATACAAGTATTTCTGCTCAATTTTTCAGGTGATAAACTCAAGCTTAAAGAAATTGTAACAGTTAATATAGATGGTAGAGTGGGATTCAAATCCGTGTCATCATCCCACAGCCTATGCTTTTAACTCCTAAAGCCAAGGGCATGTGAGACTCAACTGGGGGCTTTTTAAAATTTCAGATTGCTAAGTCCCCTTCCAGACCTACAGTCAAAAGAGGCTGGTGGGTTTGGTTTTTTTTTTAGCACGCCAGGTAATTTATGTTGTCAGCCTGGCACCAATCAATCCACTTCCTGGTGTTTGAGAACCATAGGACTGTGCTATATTACTTCAGCAATGAAACCAAGAATTAAAAGCAGGAGCAAAAGGGGTATTGAGAGGGACTAACTACAACGGTAATTTCACACGAACATCTATTTGACATTGAGTAACAATAAGTTTAACAGGTATTTGGGTCACTTAATAGCTAATATTGAGTGCTTTCTGTAGGCCAGTCCCTATGGATGAGCCACTTTATAAGCATTCTCATTTAATTCTCAAGGTAGCTTTATGCGGTAGGTACTCTTAATTCCCATTTTACAAATGAGAGAAAAAGGCTTAAATAAACAGTGGTAGAAGAGCTGGGACTGCAACCTAGGTGCCTCTGAGTTCATGCTTTTACCTGCTACACTGCAGTCTGCTTTTGTTCTAGAGATGGCACCTGCCTTGGCTTAAAAATGGACTGTTACATAAAAAGTAGTCCAAGGTGAGACATTAAGGGCTCGCCCACTTTTGTGATTCTAGTGTACCTCTTAGTAGTTCATGGAAGGAAATACTATTTTGAAATTACATCACGGGACTTTTCTCCATACAGTTAAGACAATAAAACACGAAGTTTTGTAGGAGAAAACATCCACAATAAATTTGAATAAATTGTTTTATAAATTTGAATAAATTGTTTTATAAATTTGAAGGGTGGTGGTTAAAATCAAGGGTTTTGGAGCCATCAGACCTGAATATAAATCCTACCATTTGCTGTGATTTAGACAAGTTACTTAACCTGCCAAAGCCTCAGTTCCCTCATCTATGAAAGAGAGAACACTGCAAATGGGTTTAAAAGTTAACATTGGCGACTACACAGCAGATGACCTGCTTACTATGTCACAGGACCCAGTTTCTTCAACATATCAATTGCAAGGAAAAAAAGAACCTAATAGCTTAAGAGACGCAAGATACATTAACCAAATGACATGTCCTTGTTTTGGAACCACGTGAACAAACCATCTGTAAAACTTTGGAGCCAATGGGAAAATCTGAGCATTGACCATCCAGTATTTGATACTAAGGAATTACGAGCTTACATATAACACTGGCACTGTGGTGGTGTGTGTGGGTGTGTGTGTTTTAAGAACCCTTATCTTACATACTAAAATATTTATAAATGTATTGATTCTGGGATTTGTTTCAAAACAAGTGGGGAAGGAAGGTAATGCGCTATGGATAAAACAAGAATGGTCGTGAACGTGTTACTGTAGCTGGTAAAATAGAGAATTATCAAGTAACAGGCTGGTCCTGTTAGTCTCTTCCAAAAAGTTAGTATATTAACATGGAACTACATCTGAGGATTAGCCTTGCCCTGCAGGTAACTCTCTGATGGGTACAGTGGCAGCCAAACTTGCTTTTAAGGAGCCGGTTTGCATCCAATCCGGGAAATAGTCTGCTGATCAAGTGAGGAGACATCAGGCGCTGGAAGGAAACTATTACGTTTCTCATCTAACTCCATTCCATGTTATGTCCTCGTCTCCCTCATGGACTATCAGTTAAGTGGACTGAGCTTTGAGAGTGGACAAAGAAAGGATTCAGGCTTCTTCCTTGTTCAAGTGCCAGCCTCAAGCCCCAAGGGTGTACGGGTCTTAGAATAGAAATGAACGATGAGATTAAGCCCACCAGGCCAACAACAAAGTAGGGATTCTGATAAAGCGCAGGGCCCTTAGAAGCAAACCCTGAATAAGTGGCGGGAGTTCTACTCTGCCCTCTAGGGTCGCCATAAGTTGGAATCAACTTGACGGCAATGGGTTGGGTTTTTTTTTTTTTTTTTTTTTGGAGTGATAGTATAAACTCAAAACTTTACTATGCCCTTTCAATATCAGGGAAACCCTGGTGGCGTAGTGGTTAAGAGCTACTATGGCTGCTAACGAAAAAGTCGGCAGTTTGGATCCCCCAGGTGCTCCTTGGAAACTCTGGGGCAGTTCTACTCTCCTATAGGGTCACTATGAGTTGGAATTAACTCGACGGCAATGGGTTTGGTTTGGTTTTTTTGGTTGAATATCAGACACACAAGGTGATCCACTAGAGAATAGGAATTTAAGTATATGTTAAACTGACGCACATTTTGACTAAGTTCTAATGTTTAATGGAAACTATGTAGATGAAAACAGGATCGCTTCGGAACGGATGTAGCGAAGCAGACACACCGCAGAGGGAGCCACCAGCAAACCTCAGCTCTCAGCTAGCTGATTCTGACCTCTCACCTGCTCACCCCTCCTACCCAGCTTCAGAGGGAAGCAGTTGACAACAAAAGCCGCTTTTACCAAGGAATTTAATCTAAGAGCAACTTGGCCGTCTACCAAGTTAGCTCAGTGAACACTCGCTTTAACATCTACAGTCCCGACAGCGTTTATAATTGTGATTACTGCAGTTCAGAATGACATCCCTCAAGTTTTGAATGATCCTCAGTCGTTAGTATTCATTTGAAAGCAAACAAATTGGCTACCATCTTTTAGCATTTTCACAAAAAGTATGGCTTAAAACCAAAAGGCTTCACTGGCAAAGCCTCAGAAACCCAGAATAGCCCATTCTTTGAACAGCCTTATTAACTGCAGTCCCACTATACCAAGAATATTTCAATCTTTGATATACTACAGAGCAAAATAGTATATTTGGCTTAAAGTACATAAAGTCAGATGTCTGAGATCTGGATAATGAGCATAGAATATCATACTTACCTTCTCTATCTTGTTGCCTATTTCTATGTATTAGCACAAGTTTATTTAGATTTTTGGGACAACTAATTATATCTAGTACGTGGCACTTTTCACCACTACTACTGATAAATATTGTGAGCAAAGATGATTTCACAAGTCTCAAGTAGATCAAATAGAGCAGTTTCCTTTCCTAGCCCAACATATCTTAGAACGTTTCAAGTGACTGCCTTGAAAACAAAGATGGTGGACTTTATGTTGCTCCATTGCTTCAAATTCTCTGACTTAAAGGACATCAGCTAGACTTCTTGCTGAAAGAGCAACAGAACACCACAATCAGATTTACTTGTTCATTCAACAATCGTTTATTGTTTCTGTGTGCAAGGCACTGTGCTAGGTGCCAGGACAGTAGGAAGGTACAAATATGACCAAGAGTGGCCTCTGCCCTCCAGGAGCGTACAATCTAGTAGGGAAGATTAAATGAATGCAGATACCTAGGATACCAGACAGAAGTGCTAAGTGCCACAGGAGATGAAGTACTATGGGAAGCTTTCTCAGCTCTCAACTTCAAAGTGAGACCAGGTCAGAGGAAGCAGGTTTGGACTCTTATTCCATTGTCACGGGTGTGGCACAAAAGGCCGCTGAAGGAGCCTGCTAGGCTGTGAAGAACTGGGCTGCATCTTAGATCTTGCTTCCTCAACTCTCAGCTGAGATCCCAGTGACCAACAAGGTCACTTCCTACCACTGAAAGGATGGAGGGACAAGGGCAAGGAAAATGACACAACGCACAAGAGAGAAAAACATGCACACAGGAACACCCCATGGGAGCCTGGACCTCCTGGGCCCTCCGTGCTGCCTCTGCAGAGAGAGGGGACACCACACATCACCCTTAAAAGGGGTGGTAAGGGAGAGAGCACGGGACTCCACACCAGGACTCCACATGCTCCTCGTGATGAGACCTCAGGCAATCTCTTCAGGCCTCAGTTCTCTAAGATAAAGATGTCAGACTAGATGACCTCCAAGGTCCTCTGCAGCTCTCCAATTTCGGAAAAGCATGGGAAATCAACCGTTAGCACTGTAAGCATAGCTTTTAAAGTCAATGCTTACTTTTCCCCCCTCACACCATTTGTATAAGAACTTCTAAACAGAAATGAAAACAAAGAAACTAGTTACCTTTCCTGACTTTGATACATACAAGCAATACAAGAAGGAAGGGTTGCTTGTTTTTAACCACAGTTAATGTATCAGAAGAGCTTCTTTACTATCTTATAAACAAGGCACCTTTCTGACCGCTTGGCCTCAGCAATTTATGCCTGACAGAGTCCCTCTCAATGGCATGAGTTTCTATTTTGGTTATTAAGAATACTTGCATGAGAGGATTAAACATTTTGGTCACCTTTGGGCTTCTTGAAGTAGCTTGCGTGTCTCTCAGTTCTAAGGATTTCAGTGCTCCAGAGGCGTCAATACTTTAACAGCTCGAGCAGAACATGGAGAGGCCCTGGAAGTTAGGGGGAAAGGCAGAGTGCGGACCTGATTTTTAAACAGAGGAAGGTACCTCCAAGGGAAACAGTAAGGAAAAGAGATGCAAGCGAAGTAATTCTGTTATAGCTTCTTGGCCCTCTGCCTAGCAGGAATACAAGATTATCACAAGGGGCAATTTCAGAGAACTCAAAGAGGCCAACTGAACCAAGTTTGCCTTAGCTACCATTTCACTGTTCATTTACTTCCAGGGCACTACTTCCATCCTGAAATGTGGGTCTTTCTATCTAGAGTTTAGCTTAGTGGCTCCCTTGCTTCTGCCAAGGTTAGACTTAGTCTAGGGCTAAAAAACACACATTTAATCTTTTGGTGACCACACACCTTGTTTAGCTGCCCAAATCTGTCTCACCGGAGTAAAGAATCCCTGTGGACTCTGCCGTAAAACACAGTCACATTTTGCCTAAATGCCAATATTAAGACAGCAACATTGAAGCACAAACTAGAACTGAGAATAAAATGCCAGGTTTACCTTATCCTAGGAGAGAGGTGGCAAAAAGAGCTGAAGAGGTTAACTGCTCTTACCAACAGCAAGAGTTTACAAACATAGCTCCAAGGAACAGAGTTTGGTTGGATACTGCCATTCCCATGAGGTGGCTTATACTGGGTCTCCCAGTTCACAAAGTCATCAGTGCAGAAGCAGAACACTAATAGCTCAGATTCACTGACAAGAGAATTGACTATTCCCTGCTTCTAATCTGATGAGCATCTTCTACCAAATCACCCTCCAAACCCATTAAAAAATATATCTAAGAGATCAAATACTACTTGGAACGATTACAATACAATACAAAAACAAGACCCGACAAGAGCCAGTGGGATTGTTTGGGTTTGAAGGAGACTGTGGAGGTAGTGGCTTTTAAATAAAAGCTCTTGATAAAATTTTGCTTTTTTGATTTATTTTTCCTTTGTAGAAGCAGGAATTACATTGTACCTGGGCAAATGGCTTATAAGGTTTCACAGATTCTGCAAAGAAATACATATGTATTTTGAAACGTCATTTTTCCATCAGCTGGCAGTCCCACACATCTTCACACCGTATGAAACCTAGGGAGCTGCCATGACACAGGCAGAAACGACACCGAGCTTTGCTCTCCTTTGTCCGGATCAGCAGTGCGGTTTTGCACTCTGGCTTTCGGCAGACCTGAAGAGCAGCTTTGCTCATCTCGTAAGCTTCTGTTACGGTGTTTCCTTTCTTCCTCTGGCATGCAAGGCTGGAATGGCGGCCCCGCTCCTAGATACAAACAACCGTCTTCAACATACAGATGATGACAAGTCACCTTTACTTGCTGGGGTGTGGCTAAAGTTGAGAACCAGAAATCTACAAAAACTCAATTCATATTTTTTAAATACTTTATACGGTAAAAATACAGCAAAAATAGTTTTTTTGTTCAAAGAGGAAAAATATACTGCTATGGTCACGGTTCTAAGGATGATCGAAGTAGCCTGGCTCCTCCGTGCACGGTAGTGTAGGCGAGCTTCAGCCGCGGCCGCTCCAGCTTCAGTCATTTATCAAAGCTAAAATCATACTGTGGAGAGAAGACATTAACGTCACTCACGTTTTCTCAGGAATGTTCCTATAGAGTCTGGTCTGTCCAGACTTGCATCCCTAAAGCTCAGCAAGGAATACTAATTTGAGTAAGAGACAATCGTTTATACCTAAAGGAAAGAATACCTCTATTGGGGTCTCTCAATGCCATGAAAATTATCTTCACTAAAAAAAGAGTACCATATTTTTCACAAATAATGCACCTATACATATAATGTATGAAAATGATGAGACTACATAAAATCATCCTAGTATAGTGCGTCCATGCATATACTGCACATGCCTTGTGACATTTCCAAAAGTGAATTTCGGCCTCATTCACCCATTCTCCCATATCACAGGTAAATCATATCATACTGTTCATTTTCCTTCATCTCTTGCTTATGTGTATAAAAGTAGTCTGAAGATGTTACTTCTGATCATAATTGTATAATAAAGGTATAAGCCATGGTCAAGAAGTCATGGATGGAGTTTGGCAGTCCCCCAGTAACTGGAAAATAATCGAAACTATGTGTTTGTTTCTATTAATTTAATAATACCTACCTAAGTGAAGTTTCCATGTGATTAGAAATTGAAGTCAGCAACATGTAAAAATAAATCAGCACAGTGTGCTTACGAAAATAACGCACAGGGAGTGTTTGGTGCAGATGGCAAAACGTATAACACGTGCATTATCTGTGTAAACATACAGTAACTAGAAGGGGCTGGGTGTGGGATTATAACCTAAAACCCGTATTGGGCTAAAGTTTAAAAAAATAAGCAATGGCAGGGAAAAAAAAAAAAAAAAACAAAAAACCTTTATTTGGCCAAATCTTTGCACATGTTGTCTTCATGCTTGGAATCCTCCTCCCCATCCCACCCTCATGACCCAGTAAATTCCTACTCAGGTGTCATGATTTGGCTCTGAGGCATCTCCTCTGCGAAGCTGACACTCAGCCCAGGGCAGCTGCACACTCTCCTCCCACAGCTCATCGGCTTCCTGCATGCTTTGCTTTACATGTTGGTCTCCACCACTGGACGTGAGCTCCTCTGAGAAGACTGCAGGATCCGCATTCACACAGTCATCCCATCACCACGTCCATAACCCAGTGTGCCACCCCAACTACTGCTACTACCAAGCTACAAGCTTTTACTGTTGGGATTTTGTGCTGCTCCTTTGTGTCACCAGCAATGCCTTGCACACTGTCTGACATGTAGCAGTCACTCAATAAATATTAAAACCGCCACAAAACATGGCAAAACAAAACCATCATTTCCTTGTAAATACTAGGATCAGCCTTGTTCCGCTGAGATCAAATGACTAAATCACAGAAGTACTCTTACATTACTAATGGTATAAATGATTAGTTGTCCAAATTTGGAGCCCTGGTGGTGCAGTGGTTAAGAGCTCAGGCTGCTAACCAAAAGGACAGCAGTTCGAATCTACGCAGCTGCTACTTGTAAACCCTATGGGGCAGTTCTACTCTGTCCTATAGGGTTGCTAGGAGTCAGAATCGATTCGACAGCAACAGATCTGGTTTTTGTCCAAATTTAACCACCACTACATGTACTCTGTATACAGCATGGATTAAGAATAAGAGCTAATATTTTTTAAAGATTTTTGAGAGCTTATTATAGGCTATCACAATCTAAGTGCTTCACATGTACTATCTCATTCACAATCCAATGATGTAGGAACTATTAATATCTCACTTTTAGATGAGGAAACTGAGGCACAGAGCGGTTAAGAAAGTTGCACAAACATCTAGGTCAAGTGGCTTAACAAAGTTTATTAAGAAAATGTTCTGTATGCTACTTTGGTGAGTGGCGTCTGGGGTCTTCAAAGCTAGCAAGCGGCATCAAAGATGCATCAATTAGTCCCAACCCACCTGGAGCAAAGGAGAATGAAGAACACCAAAGACACAAGGAAAGTATTAGCCAAGAGACAGAAAGGGCCACATAAACCAGACACTCCATTAGCCTGAGACCAGAAGAACTAGATGGTGCCCAGCTACCACCAATGGCCGCCGTGACAAGGAACACAACAGAGAGTCCCTGATGGAGCAGGAGAAAGGTGGGGTGCAGAACTCAAATTCTAGTAAAAAGACCAGACTTAATGGTTTCACTGAGACTGGAGGGACCCAGAAGACATGGCCCCCAGACTTTCTGTTAGCCCCAAACTAAAACCATTCCCAAGGCCAACTCTTCAGACAAAGATTAGACTGGACTATGGGACATAAAATGATACTCGTGAAGAGTGTGCTTCTTAGCTCAAGTAGATACATGAGACTA